TATGACAGAGATGCGCGGAATAATTCCTGGAATATCCCAGCAACTCGAAACGATTTTCAGAACCCTTTCAGAGCCTAACCGCGACTCTCACCGAGTGAATCGAGGGATGAACGAGGAGGCTCGGGTGCATCGGATGCAAAATGATGCAAACCGCGATCCGGTCGGCGGAAGCTCGGGTAGTTTTCGGAGTCGGAGCCGCGAAGGAGTTACAAAGGCCCGGCAGAATCCGGGCACGTCTGCGGACGACGGGAGTCGGTCCCGGGTGCGACAATACCCAGGAAATTACATAACTGTTGGAAATATCAAGCGATACCGCCGCGCCGGCGTCGGTCGCTCCCGCGTATTACTATAACCGGCTACGTGGCGTATTATATGCGCCCGCCGGGGGGAAATCGGGCAGCCCAGCCCGAGATAGCGCCGAGCCGGAGAATGAAACGAGAAATTGAATTGCGCGGAACACCCGGACCGCAATATGCCTCGAGTTCCTCCCTACGAGGGACCAAATTCCGCCGGCAATTTTCCTACATTTTAATTACGCCAGTGAGGATTTTTCAATCCCGATTTCCCCCCCTCCAACGGCTGAATTAATTCCACATAAGACCTAATCGGATCGATCACTGATAAAGGAAAATAAAAATACTGGGATTTTATAAAACCCACGTTGGAATACTCATACACGGTACACTAATTTTACGACATGTTATAAATTTAATGCACAAGTATATCGTCAACTTTAATACGAGATTTAATTTTATCATGATATTGGATGTCAAAGGTGTATGGATTTTACGAGTATTTTTGAGAGGGTGGTGGAACGAGGGAATTGCAAAAGGTGGAGGTTATGTTTTGAGGTTATGTTCGGGGATGTTGTTCGGGCTCGCGCGCGGTTCGTATCTCTCCCTGGGAATGGAGGAGAGGAGAGATACGATTCGTCGGCGGCGATGGATTGCCGGCTGGGCAGTTCGGAAAAATTCATTATCAAGCTGTTCCCCTCCGAGGGAGGGCCCAGCTTCGGAAAAACCGAGACAGCGGGAAATTAATTGTTTCGGGAGACAGCGAGTCGGCCGACTGCCGTTTAATTAACCGCGCGACCGAGCGACGCACTCGCGAGTGGCGGCCATCTTTCTACGAGGTGTATGCAAAAGAGAGGAAGGTTAAGCTGATCCATTGTTGGAGAGGAAGAAGAGGAAAAGCGAAGAACTGTCCCTGCGAGGAAACCGAAGGAATAGATGTGCCCAACCTAACCTCTACCTCCATACGAGTTCCAATGAAGATCCAGCTTCAAAGAATATAAAGTAAATTTAAATTATCCTCTTTTTAACGTTCCAAAAATTCCTTCTATCCTTCAAATCCCTCTTTTTATAACAAATACTCTCTAACGAACCCATTACCAAATAAAATTCGCCTGTTAATATAAGCATGTGTACACCTGTACATAACCTCATCCTTTACATTCACCATTCATCTAAACACGTATATCCTTGTACATAACCTCATCGTTCCACTTTCATTTAATCATGTATATACCCTCGTACATAACCTCATCGTTTACATTCACCTTTCATCTAAACACGTATACCCTCGTACATAACCTCATCATCCTACATTCGTAAGTTCATCTAAACACGTATACACCCGAACCTAACCTCGAAATTCATCTAACCTCGCATTCATTTAAACACGTATACCCTCGTACATAACCTCATCATCCTACATTCGTAAGTTCATCTAAACACGTATACACCCGTACATAACCTCGAAATTCATCTAACCTCACATTCATTTAAACACGTATACCCTCGTACATAACCTCATCATCCTACATTCGTAAGTTCATCTAAACACGTATACACCCGTACATAACCTCGAAATTCATCTAACCTCACATTCATTTAAACACGTATACCCTCGTACATAACCTCATCATCCTACATTCGTAAGTTCATCTAAACCCGTACATAACCTCGAAATTCATCTAACCTCGCATTCATTTAAACACGTATACCCTCGTACATAACCTCATCATCCTACATCCGTAAGTTCATCTAAACACGTATACACCCGTACATAACCTCGAAATTCATTTAAACACGTATACCCTCATCATCCTACATTCGTACGTTCATCTAAACACGTATACACCCGCGCCTAACCTCGCTCGTGGTTCGACACTCCCGCGTCCATGCAAACACGTATACACCCGTACATAACCTCGAAAGATACCGAGAGGGGGCAGAGCCCGGTAAATCGAGGGGTTGAAGGAGGCCGCGGAGGAGGGTGGTATGTGGCTCTTTTAACAGGCCATTATTGGACGGGAACGTTTTCCCGAGCCATTATTGTGACTGACGATAAATCCGGAGATAACCGACGCCGAGCGTACGGGGACGACGCCGGGCGCCGCGTGCGCGACGCCGCTCCTCCGAGGCCCGATCGCTGACGAGCATTGTTCGTCGAATCGCTCCCCTCCCGCTAAGTACTGCTAGTAAGTAGCTGTTAGAGCCGTTAACGCGATAGCCCTCCCTTCTGACACGAGAACGGGCCGATTAATCGACGAAATCGCGCGATCGACGTCGATGCCCGATTTTTCTCCTCGAAATTTAATGCATTTCGAAAGCTAACCCCGGTACCACCAAACTCGGTTAAATCATTGGTTACCTAACCGTAGGTTAAAGTTAACGCCTCGGTTAATCATGGGTATCAATCGGACGTAAACGTTCCCCCACACTTATGCAGAGCGCGATTAACTAATCGTATATCTTATCCGAAGTAAATTGAATTTTTCGTGATTAGCGTGATTAGCTGATACCTCGATTAGAGAGCAAGATAGATATTTAACACCTGCTAGCCTCAAGTAAAGGTCTTCGGTTAAGGATATAAAATATTTTCACGCGTACTTCGCGTGAATTAACTGGTTGGTTAATCTAAACGGCGATCAGTCGTTAAAATATAGTGGAACTCGTAACCGAGGATTAGCTTTTTGACCGAGGTTTGTGGAACCGGACGGGGCCGAAAAGGATGACTTTTAGGACGTACGCGTAAGCATTTAGGACGCTATAGTAATCGCGAAATGAGGAAAAAAGTAGGGTTAGAAAGTTTAACGAATGCCGCGGCTCTCGAATCGAAGTCAAGTTCGACTCAAGAGAGAAAAGCGAAGCGAGTCCAATGTCTCTGAGTCACGACTAATCATTGACCTCCGAGGCCGTGGCCGATTATATTCCGATTGTATTCCAATTGGCCGGGCTCGATTCGTCAATTTATACCACAATTGCCGGAAACGCGTTTTTTCCCGGCGTTGAAACCGGTGTCACGGCCTTTCCGCTATGTCTACACGCACATTAATAATTGTGCCACGATCCTCATTTGCCTCGATAATCTTAATAATCGAGATATAACTCCGAGAAAAAGAAACCCATCGAACCAAAGAAATATTTCTTTCTAATGGTATCGGGCCCGAAAAAAAAAAATTAATTGCAATCACAATTACTATAGTGACAGGTTAAAATACTGTGGGAAGTAAAAGTAAAGAAATGGTGAAATTGACCACATGTAACCTTGCCTATAGGTAATGTTAAGTCGTCCATACTCGCGATACACTCTGATCCCACTGCGGAGACTCGCTTCGTCCTCTCGGATATGAGAGAAAAAGGATTTTCCGGGAATTCGGCGGTGTCCAAGATGGCGGCGACGCGCGCGAGATGGAACTCGTCGGCGAGCGTTCGCGAAATTACCCCGAGAGGTCTCGCGCGACCAGCGGCCGAGAGAGAGGCGCGCCGCGAGCGAGATGGAGAGATCGAAGGGGAAACAAAATGGCGGCCAATAGAACCGTGATACTGGCATGAACACGAGGGAGAGAGAGAGAGAGCGCGGCTTTACGGCGACATCGAGGAGAGACTCGCGGTCGATCGGCCGACTGCCGGAGGAAGAGGGCAGAGAGAGGCACGTGAGCTTGGCGGAGGGCGAGGGGCGCGGCGACGACCGAGAGGGGGACACGTGCGAAAACCAATTTGAGATACCAGAGCGCGGGGCAAGACGCGACGCGTCGCGACAAGGACGGTGGATTCGCGCAGGCTGGTGCGCGCCGCGGGAGGGGGGCGTTTCCGTCGCGAGGCGCGGCCGCCATCTTGAAAAGTGCAACTATGCCAGCCAGGGTTGCCAAGCGTACTATTAACAACCTAATACCCTAGGTAATTTCCGTGGTTTTATTACAGTAAATTATTAGGTATTTTGCGCTAGAAATTTCATACCTCGGGTTAATTGCAGGTTAACTTCTTTAACATATGTCTCTGCTGTGGCTATTATCCGAGGCGCTTAAAATTTGTCTCTTTTATGGTTCGCTCCTACTTGCCATTGTTATTTATCCCTTAGTTGGTCTTACTAAAATTTTTATTCATGAGTAATGCATACTGGGCACCAGTTTGAAAAAGTCACGGTACAGGAGCGACGGCTTTGTCGTGTGATTTATTGCGTATTTTACTTGCATTCCACGTGAAATCATTTCCTTAAGTATTCTACTAATTGTACTGTGCGTACAGAGATGAGTTGGGAGATTGCTTACGGGCAGGGTCGCGCGATCGCATCCTGTGCTGCCCTCTGGTTTCGTACGTTAGCCTTCACCGTTTTTTGCCCCCAAGGGCGGCGCAACGAATTTCTGATAGGAGCTCGCGCACTCGCGATGGCGGTACCATCTACCAGTCGCCGTTGGTGGCTCACGTACTCGTGATGGTAATACCATGCGGCAGTTGACGGTGGTGGCTTACCTACGCTTACCGATACTGCTCGCTTTTGATGGTAAGGGAAGAACACTCGTGACGCTCCATTTGACTTTATCTACTTATCTACTACTATTAAGTACATTGTTGCCTCGAAGTCGACGTGATGCGGAGCTTTGGGGCACGCGTCGGTGTCGCGTACGGAACCCTCATGCAGCGAACCTGTGTGAGTGCGATCGCTCCTAGAAATCATAGCGCGTCCCAACCAGTCCAGATCTGTGTTCCAGTGAAGCGTCGCGCCATCTCGCGGAGGGGAGACCAACTCACCGATTCTTATCCAGAGCATGCAATGGATACCGTAGTTCCCTGTAAACGACGGTACAGATCTGTACCATGGAACCAGCGCCCTCTCTGAGATGCATAGCAAGGTTTAACCTCGAAGTCTCTCTGGCGTCGGGAAAATAGGAATCCTGCTGTTCAAAAAGTATCCACACCTTATTATAATTTTTGCACGCAATAATTTCAAACATATCTAACTAAACTTTTTACGATATCGTTGATCATGACATTCTAGTTAGCATTAGTGTCGTAAAGAAATAAACTTTAATGGAGTTTCAGTAATGAAGCATCGTCTTAATACTTGAAAAATGAAAGAAAAATTATTTTTGACGTCATAGATGGCCGGAAGTCAAGGTCTAATAAGAGGGCACTAAGTGATCATTCGGGTGAGTAGAAGGTGATTTTATTTCGAGTTTCGCGTTGCCTCTAAATCTCAACTTGTCAATGAATTGTCGTCAGGTCAAGGAGGCTACTGAATTGAGTAACTAATGGCGCTTCCCTAAAGTGCCTCCGTCCGGTGGGCTCGTCTGAAATTTTGGAAACATTCGGCGCCCGACGTTTCTGGCCAATGTAACATCGGAGGAAAATGAAAACGAAGGATGCGACTGTCTAGACAGCCAGAACCACGCAATTGTCTAGACTGGACCACCACGCGTGAGAAAGGCCGGAAAAACTCCTCCATGCCCCAAAACATACTTAAGCTCGTTCGAACAATCTTTCAGTACTTAAAAAAATTGAAAACTACTGAACCACCATTTTTACAAATACCAACGTACTGTAATACAATAATCAATAAGTATAACTCTATCTTAAAAATTGAACATGGCGTCTGTTTGCAGTGGATCACAGTATGCCAATTTATCCAATTCTCTCGAATATTAATTTAGATAATGAATCATGAGAAGAAATATTTTATTAATACTTACTATGTTTTGTCCACGGATTACTGCTGCATGTACGTCTGTGGTGGCTTTGGAAAACATTGTTATTGTAATTTTCACGGTCGTTACATGTAGAATTACATAAAACAATGTATAAAAATGTATATTGTAATACTTATGTCGTCTAGAGAAAGTATACGGCGTCTCCGGTGGGCAAGAAAAATTAGGGCCGCCTTATTGTTCGCGAAGATGGCGGCAGCCTATGAACAACGGGGGTCCGAAAAAGGCAGACGAACGCCATGGGCGGTATCCGGGCCGCGACATGTCTGAAAGGCAAAATCTAGAGAACCAGGGATTTCCTATGCACGGTGTTCCGGGTGTACCCAGGCCACGCCTGTTTAGACGCTCGGAGATACAAAGGACTCTTTTATGCCGCTCCGTGCAGCTGGACATCACTTTCGGCTTGTTTTTATCCTTTTGGCCGTTCTCTATCTCTTACATTGCCCTCCCCTCGCCTCCCTGCACATCGAACGGCACAGAAAAATTAAATCCCCATTAAAAAACGATAATTCCAAAGCGAAACTACGTGACCCTCAAACGTATCGGCACTTTTTACTCGAGTGAAAGGGTGGAGGGTTCGAATCTCGTCTCCGGAAATCCAAAGTTTTTTTTTTCGCGTTTTTAGGGGTAGTTTCGAAGAGAAACTCGGTTTATGTAACATGGCCTCGGGAGAAATGGGAAATTGATGATTTAATGCTGATTTCGAAAGTGATCTTTGCCGAGATTGCTGACACGCGAATTCGGGTTTGGGGACTTTCATCTGTGTTTCGGGATTGCATGGAACGGTGGAAACTCTATGGAGAATTTTTATTTTTGTAAGGGTTTATTTTTATATTGTAGGGAAAATTGTTATATCGCGTCTTAAAAGGTTCCGCGTAATTTGTTGCCCGTCTAGGGTTTCCTTTTTTTCGCCGCGGAAGCGCGTCGTCCGTTTTTTCTCGGCTAATCTGAGGAGACGTTACGATGTGTGCCTAAATCGATTTCGATTGCCCGATGGGGAGTTATTACTGCTCGAATTACAAGAGTATTCGATTGGCCAGGCCGCGGTTAATCTCGGTCGCGTGCCGGGTTTGACTTCTGTAACTCGAGCCGCGGCCCGACGCCATCTTGGATGACTTTAATCGGCGTAAATTTACCCTTTTCTTATTTCCCCTGTACCGCGGATGATATTGCAAAACAATTGAAAGTAACACTGAGAATTTGACATAGAACATTTATTAAATGTCCTTCCCTTTCTCATTTTTTACCCTGAGAGAAAACAAATTAATTGGTTTGACTTCTGTAACTCGAGCCGCGGCCCGACGCCATCTTGGATGAGTTTAATCGGCGTAAATTACCCTTTTCTCGTTTCCCCTATACCGCGGATGATATTCCAAAACAATTGAATGTAATTTTGAGAACAAAAAAATTAATCGACCGAAACGAATATGTATCGTTGCCTGAATCATACATAATTGCAAGAAAGAATTTCTTTTTAATATCCGTTGCTTTTCTCTTGATTGGTGTTAAGGTTTTAGGTTCTTCAGGGAATGTTAACGATTTTTAATCCGTGTCAATGACGTTAATCATCCGTATTAATGAGAATACAAGCCTGAGAACCGAAAAGGCCCTCCTTGAGAGTGTTAGGACGACATAACGTTTCATTGTACGAGTATCGTGCTTAAACTCCGACGTTGAGAGCTTTCCCACAGTTAAGGAGGCGCCGATTATCTGCCGGCGCCTAAACTCGGTGTAAAGTACGGTACAACCGCTTATATGCGGTCGAATGAGTGACAAAAAACATGTTCCAGTGAGCGAATCGAGGGACGCCATTTTTTTATACCCGGTTCAACCCCCGATATTGTCACACCGAGAAAAGATATGTAAAAATACGCCAGTAAACATTTCTATATATTTACATTTCTTAAGATCTTGAAGAATCTTTCACCGTCGCCGAATTTTCTCATTTCATTACAGTCGCGCGACAAGTTCGGCCATTTTGTTTTTTCAATTAATTACACGAGAATCTACGTTTACATCCCCGGTATTTCGTTTCAAAGGGAATCCGGCTTTGTTGAAATAAATTTCCTCGGGGGTGACATCGGGGCCCCAAAGATTGTCGCTGAATTTTCCCATTAGTTGCGGTCGGCAAGAATGGTGGCGCCACCGGGTGCGTCTGGATAATGTTAGGGAGGAAAAAGAGGTGCGTGCGTATCGGCCCACGCAAGCCGGCATTCCAGGGCCGATGGGAAAATGAATTGCCTTCATATTGGCCGAAACTTTATGGAGTCCCCGAGTGGCGACATGTCGTGCGAGTCGCTCGGTATACAAGTCCGGAATTTACGTGCCTTCCTAACCTCACTCTCGAAGAGGATCCGAGACACCGACGGCGCCTTGCTCGGGGGGAGGGAAACTTTACAATTAACACATTCGGTTGCATTAATCGATTCCGTGTTTACGCTAGCCGTATGAATCGGGTAGATCCCGAGTTTACACAGCAATGATGAATGGGAACTATTATGCACATTACCGCGTTCCCTTTTGTATATACCGATCGAGGGACTTCCCCTGCTTGCAGTTAAATAGGATTGGATTTCATCGTCGAACGGCATGATTGATCGCTCGAATCTAACGTCGCTTAATGGCATTTCATTAAACCGACAAATCCATGAGTGTCAATAAAAGCCGAATGAATATTTTCGTCAAATTACCACACTCGAAAATTGCAATTCGAATTGCTACAGAAAAATTGGGAAAACTATCCTATATGTTCCAATATCACCGAGAGACTGTTTTTCAATAATTATTAAAAATTATTAGGAAGGAACGAGTCCTATGAAGTAGATCTATTTTTAATTATTAATATCTATTTAAAGGCTGGAATTTGTTCTTAAGTTAGAGTCGTTTTTAAACGTTACCATGTAATGTATGAATATTAGTATAAAAAATTACGATCTTCTAAAATGAATTTCTATAATGTATTAAGTTATTCAAAGGTTAATTTATACATCTATCTGTGGCTTAATTAAATACATACGGGCGTTTTCATTTCTACTTGTGCGCACTTGTATTTTTTAAACACAGCCGAGATGTTTATCGAGGAATTCCCACGATCATTGATAGTACAAAAATTGTTTCCAATTAATTTTTCACAAACATATGAAAGTAGGGAAGGAACGACTCAATGTGTGCATCCATTTTCATTGTGCATTTAATGTTCAAAAAATGTACTCAATGATATAAAAACTGTTTTTAATTATCTTAAAAAAAAAGACATTTAAATCTAAGGCATGCACGACTCAATGTGTGCATCCATTTTCATTGTGCATTTACTGTTTAAAAAATCATTTGGAAACCTCGGCTCCAATATGGAGATACTTTACGAGCGTTCATATCTTCAAGGACATGCACCTGTATTTTTAAAAAATGTACTCACTGATATAAAAACTGTTTTTAATTATCTTAAAAAAAAAGACATTTAAATCTAAGGCATGCACGACTCAATGTGTGCATCCATTTTCATTTTGCATTTACTGTTTAAAAAATCATTTGGAAACCTCTGCTCCAATATGGAGGTACTTTACGAGCGTTCATATCCCCAGGGACATGCACCTGTATTTTTAAAAAATGTACTCAATGATATAAAAACTGTTTTTAATTATCTTAAAAAAAAAGACATTTAAATCTAAGGCATGCACGACTCAATGTGTGCATCCATTTTCATTGTGCATTTAATGTTTAAAAAAATCATTTGGAAACCTCGGCTCCAATATGGAGATACTTTACGAGCGTTCATATCCTCAGGGACATGCACCTGTATTTTCGAAACGCAGCCGGGGCTTTTATCGAGGGGTTCCCATGACCCTTGGCGGTGCATGTAGCACCATGAACGCAATTTCATGGCAGACGGGCATATCAGGCACCGAGAACGACTATGTGCCACTTGACTAACCAGATGACCCGCCGTACTCGCGAGATAACCTAAAAGCACCCTCGATCTATCCGAACTCACCTATTTATAGATACACCGCTCTGCTACCTTTCTATTTCTCTTCATTTTCATTTTCTCATGCCTCGAACGATGACTTACGATGGAGAGTCATTAAATCAGTAGGTGCAAAATTGCCCGATTATCTAGAAATTATCTCGTGCAAGATGATTAATGGAAATTCCAAAAGTAATAAAAAATTCCATTTTCAAATATTAGATACATATATATTTTTTTTTCTTCAAATTTAGATTGACTATCGCCGAAGCCTCAGTTACTAATTCAATATATAATTAATAGAATTAATAGGTAATTATCTAGAAAGTATCTCGTGCAAGATAATTAATGGAAACTGCAAGGATAATCGAGAATACCATTTTCGTTTATTAAATACAGCCCTTTGAGTACCGACGGAACATAGATTATTAATAAGATATAATTAATAAAAATCTTACGCTGGTACACAAAGTCAATCGGACGATTGAATTATTTTTACATATCTCGTTCATATCGACGTAAGAATTATTAACGTGTTTAGTAAGACCCTAAAAATCGAATGCAAAGGTCTGAGTTTTTTATTAAACGGAAGTAGGGAAAGTGGAGGAGCAAAATCGGCATTTCCTTTTATGCCCTGCTTTCGGATGATTTCCGTTTCGTTTTTTTTCCTTTTTTTTCCGAGTCACTTAAAGCGTCCTAAAAAAATTATCCCTAACCTCAGAAAAGGACAGCTGCGCGAAGGCGGTAGTTCTTCCCACTGGTAAAGAATCTATTTAATAATAAAAAGAAACGACACGAAGCGCCTTATCGTTAAATATTACACCTTACAAATATCTCTTTGGCTTAGCGTCTAAAAAGTAATGATAAAGTTAGTGGAGATATTTACAAAGGAAAGCCGCAATCTCGCCGGCCGAGTCGCAGAAATCAATATGCAAAAAAATTATTATTAAGATATTATAAACTTTGGCAATTTCCCAAGCTCTTTTTGGCATTACCGTATTACTCATTGTCATCTTAATCATCTACTGACGTAAATCGACACGCTGATAATGTTCGCCGCCATCTTGGTTCCGCAAGAACCGAAAGAAACCATCGCCGGTTAATCATTCGAGAATCTTAATATGTAAAGAAATTACGTATAAAACTTTGTCAATTTCGCAGATGCAGTCTTTTTTTGCATTATTGTCGTCACTGCATTACTATGTGTTAGCATAGTCGCAAGTTATGGCGTAAATCTGTACACGGCGAATGTCCGCCGCCATGTTGGTTTTGCACAAACCGAAGTCAAGAAACATCTCTTCAAATTACCAGTTACTATCGTCACGCCGAGGCTCCATATCGACATAGTTATTTAATAATTAAGGTGGGTCTTTTCGGTGATACCTTCGTTACCATAATCGCTGAATACTCTGATTAGCCGACATCTGATCCATGTAATTAATATGCTGCAGCGGGTAATTGGAAGGGTTCAGATAATTCGGGAAATTAAAATCCCCACTAGAGATATCCATGACCATCCGATGATTATTCGGCAGCACGGGCTTACCTTCGTTTCCTAGGGCCTTTAATTCCGAAAACGACATGTCGTTAGGGCCTTTGTACTCTAATTTAGGGGATCTGGTATCGCAAATCGGCACGGCCGCCATGTTGGATCTGTAGTCCGAAGAGACGAGGCTTCTCTGAAGATTTACTGCATTTAGCCCGGTGGAATCGGGATTGACGTCACTTTTGAAATCCAATCCGACAATGCTCGAGGCTTCCACGGTTAATTCGTTATTCGAGATCATTTTGCATTCCGGGGTTAGCTGCATTTCCGGCGTCCGGAATTCGGACTGAATTCCCAATTCCGGCCGCATGATCGGCCAATATGGCGCCACGTAAGAATCCTGCACGCGTGGTTTCCCGTTTTTCAGCAAAACGGGGACTGGCAATTTCTTTAACGGCTCGATTTTCATGTTCTGGGCCTGCAGTTTCTCCGAATCCTCGATCCGCGCTCGTTTGTTCTTGTAGCGCCGATTTTGGAACCAGATCTTCACCTGCGTGCTGGTTAACTTCAATGTCTGCGCCAGCATTTCTCTTTCCGGCGCACTCAAATATCGCTGTTGCTTGAAACGCTGCTCCAATTCGAAAACCTGGGCCTGAAGAACGCGGAAAAACGTTTGACATTTAGATTTGCAACAATCAAACACCGCGTCGTCTAATTTCCCGCTTGAAAATCAGGGTTTTTACGAGTTTTACATCCTACAACTTTACGAACCGCCGAAATCAAAATGGCGGCGCCGAAATTATAAACTGGGAAGACCGTCGCGGATATTAAAATCGAATTTCATTCTCGGGATTAAAGAAAGAGATTCACGCGAGATTTAAAGTCGAATGCTTTTTTCGGAATATTGTTGATGTTATATTTACTTTTACTTTTCGCAAATGGCGGAGCGTTGGTTTCTTTTTTTCTGGAATAATTTCGCACTTACCTGGGAAAAAAGCACCCTCGGTTTCCTTTTGATCCTTTTACAGGACTGGCTTTTCCGTAGTTCGGTCTTGCTCGAAGTAACCAGGTTTCCTGAAACATAAAAAAGGATTTCCGCCTTTATACACAATTCGCAACCGATTATGTACTGTATTGTCGTTAAAATATAATTGTATAAATACATTATTAATAACCCACTATTTTTCCTTCAACATCTCGACATTACATATACGACGCGTTTTTATTCCTTTTCAATATATTAAGAAAGCGTATCTCTTAAAAAAAAAAAAAGCGTAATAAATAATGATCATTCGCCGTCGAGCGTCATCTGCGACTCATCGTGCTATCATATTAATCCATACGCCTTAAAACCACTTATGTTTAATTTTGGATTGCCTGAATGATCGGATTCTGAGAGACTCCATGGCAAAAATTTAAACATGTCCAAAACTACAATCAATGTTCATAAAAATTGTAAGAGTACGTATTAACATGTTTATTAAGACATTGAGTAAAAGAAATTTACCATCTCATCCATACGTCTTAAAACCACTAATGTTTAATTTTTGTCCATGTTAAAAATTCGAACATGTCCAAAACTACAATCAATGTTCATAAAAATTGTAAGAGTATATATTAACATATTTATTAAGACATTGAGTAAAAGAAATGTACCATCTTATGCATACGGTTAAAAACCACTAAAGTTTAATTTTGTCCATGTTAAAAATTCAAACATGTCCAAAACTACAATCAATGTTGATAAAAATTGTAAGAGTATATATTAACATATTTATTAAGACATTGAGTAAAAGAAATTTACCATCTTATGCATACGGCTAAAAACCCCTTAATTTTAATTTTGTCCGTGTCAAAAATTCCAACATTTCCAAGGCTATAGTTAATGTTCATAAAAATGGTAAGAGTACGTATTAACATGTTTATTAAGACATTGAGAAAAAGAAACTTACCATCTTCAGCGACGGGCGCCTCGTGATAAGGAAGCGAAACCTGTCCAAGCTGATGGACGTGGCTCATCTCCGGATAACTTTGATATCCAGGATCCGTTGGCTCCTGCTTGAATTTCTCGACCTCCCAGGTGTTCTCCGGGATCACGCCATAGGTGTAGCACTCCTGGGGATGCTGCGGATGCACCTGAGTTTGCGTATACAGAGGGTAGCACTCCATCTCGCGAAGTTGCTGGCTCTCGCTTAGGATGTCGCGTACACTGAACGGCGTGGCCGAAGTCGCGGACAGCATCCTAATGCATTTTAAATCCCGAAGAAGGCCTACACCCAGCGGGTGGCAAAATTTCGATATTAAACCTCCACCTTCCGGGGTGGTGCACAAAAATCGGCGAGTCGATAGCGAGCGCAGAAGCACCTTAAAAAAATTCACTTCCAATACACCTTCGCGAATCTCCACGAGTTACTCGACCTACCTATTTATCTATTAACATCCGTCTTAATTAATTTTTTTTTATATAAAGTCCCGCGACACGCACAACTTAACGAGAGGCCTCTCTGAGGCCTTATTACGATTATGAGTTTGTCCAAAGTTTTTAACAATATTTTAGTCGCTCCTTCCTAGAGCGATCAGGGCGATGCGGATTGTTTTTAGGATTAATTTCTAGGAAATTTTTTTAATAATGTTTTAGACGCTCGGTTATGGCTTAAGGCGGTGCGGAATTGTTTGGGGGATTTTTCTGAAGTGCAAGAAAAAAAAAAATTAAATCCGCAGGCGGAAATTTCGGGCTCCCGTTTTCGGGGGATCCGTTTCTCTGATCCGCTTCGGTCGAGTGATCAGGCCGAAGGGCAGACGTTTAATGTGACTTGGTTTTCTAGAGAGTCAAGTGTCGAACCGAGCTACGCAGAAACATTATGGACGTGCGAGGATGTGCGTGAGGGTGTCTCAGTGTGCGTACACACGATCTCGTGTGCAAGCACGAGATGAGATGAAACCGACACACCCCCGCACGGAAGAAAAATCTGTGCAGCATCCAGCAGACACGCAGAAAATATTTTTTTTTCATTTAACCAATTCAATTCCTAATGATTCAGCCACAGAATATGTTTCCTACAAGTACAACCAAAATTTATATTGGCATGAGAAAAATTCTATAATTAATAACTCCGTCTGTTACATAAAATCGTCTTGGCAATTTGTCAATTAGTTTCACTTAAAACCGTATTTACGTTAAACGTGCGGTTTACCCGACAATTAACGGAAAGTTGAAAAACCCACAAGTTTAATTTAACAATGCAATATCTTGCGAATGTAAATACTGCAATAACTGGAAATACTTTCCAAGACATAAACAAAAAAAAAAATGTTAAACGCAAACCGTGACGAACCATCGCCTGAAAAAACCTTCTCACGTGACATGGATTAAAATGATTTTAGACTATTAACCGAAGACGGGAATAAATTGTTTCTATAAAGATTTGCCACGGTGTCCCTTACGATCGGTAAAACACGTGAGAAATTATACGATACACATGTGTCAATTAATCTCGAAAGCGCAATTATTCCACCTAACGATATAGAGACAGTAAGTAAATGTACTTGTAAAACATTGTATTTATTTAATTCCCGCAGGTATCCGCATATCGCCTTGCACAAGCCTACGCCATAAACAACGAATCGCCGACCTCGTTACATCGAAGTAAAGCGGTCTAAGGCGCTACCTAATCGCAATTATTAATTACATACAGAACGGCGATTACCGCGTCTCCTCCTATATACCTCGGCGAGCGAGAAATGCACAATTAGAGTAAAAATAATACTATCCGTCAAGAGATTAGAGCGAACACCTTCTTCCCGAAGAATAAAAATATCATATCTGAAATCACACACATATACATACACGTATATGTACATATACATGCATGCATATCGTATGTAATATGTAATACGTATATATACAAGAGTCGCGCGATACAAAGCAATCCATATGCGGTCGATGTTTTCCGTGGAACACTTTATAGAAATAATTCCATCTTTTTAATTCCTTTCATCATCATCAATATCATATTCGTTATTTACATAAGCTCTAAGAGTTCAGCGCCCTATCGAGGTATGGATTATATTCAACGTTGAGATATAACTGATATGAAAAGATCACGTCCTGAGTTAATACAAAACACTCGATTTATGTGTGTATATATATATATACTCTCTTCTTATATTTCTATACATATGTGTTACGGGCAACGCGGTAAATCGGACATTCTTTGGAACGTCCATTTGTTATGTTGCCCGTGACATATATTTTATACGGATCTGTGTGTGTGTTTCTGTGTGGCTGGGTGTTTCTTGCTTAGGTAAACGGCGTTACTTGGTAAAGAAAGCACTTATTGCAAACTCGGACTGCTCTCATGTGCCCGAAACGCGGTAAGGGGACGCTGTTGCTGCTGCACCTGCCGCAAAACACCTTTCCGCAGTTCCTGCAGTGATGTCGCCTGCGAACAACCGTGAAGACGGCTTGGCAAGCCATACATCTCGGTGCGTTGTTATCAGGAACCCAAGCGGGAGCTTTCTCGGTGCACTCCTCGCCTCGCTCGGTGGTTACGGGTGCTGAAATAAAGAAATGAAAACAATAAGATAAGCATTTTGGATATTTAAAGTGTACACGTAAAAAGTCTCGACACTTCAAACAATTCAAACCTTTGAACACACATATACCAAAACCAGGAACAATGGCGCCCGAAATGAAAATTGAATTTTTAACAGCTCCGGTTACATGAAGGTATCCGAAACTTTGGACACTTAATTATATAATAAAGTATATAAATAAAAGAAATTTTTGACACCTCAGGCAATTGTATACTACAAGAGACAACGCCACTGAAAATGACTACATTCCAAACAGGTGATGATAACGGCATATCAGGTGATATAAAATCCCCACTCACATCTTTCGTTTGTTGGCACAGATTCGTCAGACATGTCTTTAACGCGGTTGTCCTCCTGTTCATGCTCGTTGTTAGTGCTGGGCGATTGAACGATAAAGTCTTCGGGATGACTGAGTAAGCTGAGGTTGTCGAGCTTCTTATCAGAGGCGTCGGTGGTCTGACTACTGTTCATAAGAAACACGCACTTCAGGATGTTCCTCAGGTCGGAGGCGAAGTTGGTCTGCAGCTGGTCGGCAACCCCGGCAATGCAGACAAAAAGTCGGTGCACCAGATCCTCGGAAGACCTAGGGGAAAGAAAGAAGAAAGGAATAAACCTCTTCAGGTACTCGAGAGATAATTAACAACTCGAAAAGTCATACCTGAACTTCGCCCTGATCTGGTTCCTATTCGCGACCTCTGCAGCCTGCATAGCAAGAGCGATCTCCTCGTCGTTCTGGCGGTCGCTCTCGAATTCGCTGGTCTCCGAGCTCGAGTCGCAACAACTGGAGCAGCTGGAGGTGGAGTCAGCATCCGGCCTCTGGACCAGGGAGAGATACGAGCTGCAAGAATAATTCCTCGAGACATCAGCCGCGTTGATGAGCTTAGAGGGTGCAACGTTACTCCTGGAGGTCTCCCTAAACGCCTGGACCCGGCAATACCCATTCTGTGCAACAACGGTAGAAACGGAGTCCTTGATAACGCTGATATCAGACCTCTGGTCGACATCTTCGAGCAGCTTCATCGGGACCTTGACGGCCAGCCTGGTCTTCTCCTGCTCGTCGACCTTCTTCTCGTACTTGTGCACCTGCCTAGGGCCCCTCTTCCTCAACCTGGCAATCGACTGCGACCTCCTGCGATAAACCAGGTTCCTGTTCTGCATTGAATTCCCACATACGCACTCGACCTGGCGGACGTAACACTGGCCCAGGGTCTGGGGCGACCTGGAGCAACAATGCTGATGTTTCTGGCTGAAATACCGACTATGGCTCTCATTAGGCTGCCGTTTGGTTCTCTGTCTATGCAGGCTCATGCAGAAGCTCCCCAACCTGGGGTTCCCACACCTGGTAGACCTCGTCACCTCGGCGCTGGTCTGAGGTTCCGGGTCGACGACGCAACAGGAGCCCTCCTTGGAGCCCTTCAGCATCTTGCAGGAGTCCTTCGGGACTTTCTCAGCCCCGCGGAACGTCGATTTGTACTCTCTGTAAGAACAATCCTTCCTCTCGCACTCTCGGTGCCGCTTCTGCTCCTGTTCTCCAGTGATCTGCCTCTTAGAGGTGGACTGCTGGGACTTCCGCTCCCTCTTCTTCGAGGTGGCGTTCAGGTTCTGGTGAACGAGCTGGAGCTTCTCACATTTGGGGCAGGTGCGATACTGCAAGTCCCTCCCAGGAGACAACGAGTCCCCGCTGGAGTCCAGGCTCTCCGATTTCTCATCGTAGCCGGTCTGCAGGTTCAGCTTCGCCTCCTGCCCCTGCAAGGTCTCCTGGAACGAGTCGGAGATGGATATCGACAAGTTCCTCGCGTCAACGGTAGCCGAAGACCCGCAGATAGGAGAAGACAAGGTCGAGGAAGCGTGGACCTGGTGCTTCCTCTCCTGTTCTTCAGGGTTCTGCCTCCTGGTCGAGGCTTGTTGCGTCTTCCTTTCCCGTTTCTTAGAGCCACTGCTCATACCCTGGTGCTTATCGCATTTAGGACAAGTCCGGGGCTCTCTTCTATCAGGATCCAGACTCTCGCACCGCCCAGGATAGACGTTCTTCGTATACACCTCTTCCTGTACATGTTCCGAGTTAAAACTAACTTGTCCCTCCATCACCAGGGACACTCCAGGGGAGTTCAGCGGATTCACGGACTGATCGGTAGGGCCAGGACCCTCTAAGTTGGACACACCGCATACGTACGACGTCCCCGAGACCGTATAACCATCCTTGTCCAAGGAGCTCGCATCTCTACCAGGGAAAGCCTCCTTCGCGTCGATGGGACCCTCTCCAGGACCCTCCTGATCGTCCTGGCGGATCTCCCTGGAGAACGGGTCCCTCTCTTCGGGGCTCTTGTCGTAGAGACTCGCGTTCTCCGACGAGATCACCGTGCAGATCCCGGAATCCGTTTGTTCCGAGTTCTCCACGTGGTACTCCCCGTTCAGCAGGAGGTTCGACAGGGTGACGTTGGTCTCCGTGATCAGCTGGTTAGCGTCCAGGTCGAGAACGATCTCGCTGGTGACCTCGACCTCCTGCGAGACCTGCTCGTGGCTGTCCATCACGGAAGGCTCCTCGTTCCCCGTGCAGACGTTCCCAAGACCGTCTTCCCAGACCTTGCTGGAGATGCTGCCGTCCAGACTACTCTGCCACTCCCTTAGATGAGGGTTCTTACCTACGTCCTCCTTCTCGTCGGCCATGTCGGTGCAGGAATGATGACGATGTCTCGTGGAATAGTCCCCTTTCCTCGCGGGACTGATCTGGACCACCTTGCAGTGCGACCTGGAGTCGAAGAACTGCTTCTCGGCCTCGATCTTTGCCTCCGGGTCTTTCTTGCAGAGTCCGTAGTTTACGTTGGAATGTCGGAATCTGACCTCCTTCAGGTCCCCGTGCTTCTTCCCCTTCTGTCTTCGTCTCTGGGACCTTTTCTCGGAGGGCAGGCCGATCACCTTGTGGCCGTCGCGCACCATCTCCACCACGTCCGTCGCCCCCTCGTCCATCGTACTCATCGAGTTCCTTGGCACCGTGTAGAAGTTCACGATCAGCTGCTTGCAGTTAGGGTTGTCCTTGTAGAAGGTGTGCACGAACTCCTCCAGCTCAGAGTCGTTCGCGCATCGGGACTTCGAGGAGGGCTCTTCGTTCGAACAGAGAAGCTTCTCCAGCATGTACAGCTCCCAGCTGTTCAGGGTCCACAGGAGCTCCCTTATCTTCAGCAACAGGGTCTACGGAGGGATCGAATGTCGATGATAAGACGAGGACTTTACCACGTATATATGGAGACCCTGAAGAAGGTCCTGACACTCGGGAATTTAAATTTTGTACGCCAAATTTTAAAAATCACTTTTTGGTCTTAATTCTCTCTTTTTTAATAGAAACTTATTTTTTCACTCGGCATAGGCTACTCACCCTGAAGGGTCTGAACATTTCGCTGAGGGAATCCGGAGAGTTCAGGCACAGCGGTCCTCCAGGAGCTGCCAGAAGACCCGATACGATGGCTAGACGAGGGATTGTGAACATCAAAGCTGGCTCGTAGTTGTCCACATCTGCTTGGGTGAACAAGCCACGTTTCAGTGCTTTCTGGAGGGACTCCGAGAACAGTACGCACACCAGCTCCTGCTGTTCGTACTCTTTTATTGACTTTACAGGGACCATGGCGCCTACGTAGCACAGCTCGAAGTCAGCGAAGAGTCTGTCGAAGATCTTCAAGGACTCGATCAGCTTCTCAAGAGTCGGATCGAAGGGAGTCTGAGTCTGGATAATATAGTATTAATAATACTCTACCGAGTTTCTTAAGAAAGAATATTTTTCAGAAAACTTTCCGTCGAACTGGCTGTACCGAATCACTTGAAATCTTACTGCATGAATATAAGTTCTCTAGTTGTAAAATTTCAGAGGATTTTGTGCACCCAGTTCGAAGAAAACCTTCATAAACGATTGACCCCTCGGATGGCATTTTCATATCCCCTTAAAAAGCCACGATTTGCAAGAAAGAATTCTTCTTTAAGATACCTTTAAATTCATATTTCCCTTCAGTGCATATTCCCGGAGCAAATTTCTAACAGTCTCCAGAGATTTAGTCAAGGCTTTCGCCAGAGGTCTCATTGCAGAGCTCTCCGCCTCCCTGTTCATTATCGACGATCCAGCTGCCAAACACTCCGCTCCAAACCACAGCTGACCGGCAAGGTTCTCTTGCATAACATCGTCAGGAAACTTAACACGAAAGTCTCGATTAGCTCTGCTACCAGGTATGAGGTCATCCATGATCTGATTGCAGATCATCAACACTTTGTCTTGACAGTGGCGCAGCTGATTCACGAGGCTGGTACATCTCTCCGGTTCTTGGCGACCATCAAACGAATCCAGCTCGCATGCTATCGTGTTCAAGGACTCGTCGGCATAAAAAAATTGCGCCAACAAGCTCGTATCGTCCCTCTGCGCAGAAGAAAATGAAACACTCGAGGAATATCCCATGAAATGTATAAACATATCGACTAGATTACAAAAGAAAAGCCACGACGATCGACAATTTGCAATGAAAAAAAAAAATTCAAAACCCAAACCGGCCATCGCATCGGAACATCAAATTAGAAATTACAAAGAATCAATGAAATCATCTAACGAAATATCCCGAGTGGTGTCAAGACGGTCAATGGTCACGTCCGATAACATCTCCCTGATAAGGCAGTTGGGAATTCTTGCAAGTAATTGCCAAAGAAAAACTCTACGATAAACAAATCTTCCAGCCCCGAACAGCAGCCTGCGTACATCGTTACATGAGTACATATTCAAAGTATCGACAATTACATCTTATCGGGGATTAATCTAAACTCTGGGGATTTCTTTTCCCCAGCTCTTTCGCTTTCAGCACGCGTCCCAGATCGTAATGATTTTGATGCAGAAATGGAAAGTGGAAAGTGGCACATCTAGGACGGGCGTCGTGGTGGATTTTTAACAGCGATCACGCGAAGGTGCCAACTCATTTATCGGGGTCCAATTGGCTCCGTGAGTTTCCTTGAATTAATGGAGTGAACAAAATTGGCATTCGTTGAGTGCAATCGAATGCAATCGAGCGCAATGTGCGGTGCGATTTCGCAGACGCGCAACGCGCTTTACGGGTGATAGTCATCGACGGGCTGGAGCTTGACAGAGACGGAATCGGGTGAAAATTCGAGTCCACTCACTTTGGGCCTGCAGAACCACTTCCTGATGGACTCCATTTCAGGGAGAAGCGGACGGTTAAGTCCCGAATTAAGTGAGAGCGGGCCTTCGTAGCTGCGCCCTTTCCGTCGCCGCCAAGAACCAGTCGATCTCCTCCCGGAGGCGCGCCAGGTTCGCCAATCGACGTCGCGGACGTCACTTGGCTTCGAGGAACGCGATCGGGGAAAGTGGGCACGAATTGAACGGCACTCGGCAATCGAACACCGTCAACAACTGACGCGCCATGCCTCCTCTCGCCTCTAGCCACGGCTTTTACCACAAGTTTGACAACCACTCCAAGGAAGACGTGCCAGTCAGCGCGTTTACATCGCCCGCAAGTTCTGAGTCACTGAGATTGTGGACTGTGAGGTAAACGCGGAGCGGCGCTGATTGTACTACCCCCTCCACGGCGCGCGAGAGACCAGGCGGTCTCTCTCGCAGTCGACCAATCAACGAGTGCGACGGAGACAGACAGATGCGGATATCAAGTAACGAGTCTCGCGTCTCCGCCTCTACCTTGCACCCCACGGTTACATAATTAATGTAGTCCGTACGCTGGCTGGAATTAATCCGTGGCGCCATCTTCTGACTAATAATTTTAACGGATAGGACAAATTTATGTTTATTAGAAATTGTTTTAACGCATTTACGTGGTTACTACGATTTCCTAGGTTATAGATTATTTCCTTTTCCGTATCAGATAATGTTTACTTAAGAAATATATTTCTAGTTCGGAGTTTTGGAATTGTATATGTACAATACGAAAATATTTATTTTGTACATGCATTCTTGTTTTTCTCATGATTAATAAATTAAAAGTCTTGTAACAAAGCCGCACCACAGTGTGTACGTTATATACATTTGTACCGTATATTACAAAACAGACTCGACACGTCCCTATTTCTTTCTTTTAAGGTTTTTCAGTTCAGCCTGCTGTTGCGCTGCGTCCCCAAAGATTTCTTTGACCTTCTCTTTGCGCTTCATATCCTCTTTTAATTTTTCTTTAATCTGTACTTTCGATAAGAAAGCAGTGTCTCTTCTTATCTCCCTCGTTGCACCCTTCAATTCTTTCTTGTACTTACGTTGCAACCTCTCCCTCTCAGCCTTCCTCGAAGTTGAATGCTTGCTTCTTTTCCCATCGTACCTAAACATTGTAATAATTAATTTACAATAATTAATATATAAATCAAACAATTGCACAGTATACTACAACATTATTTTTACTTACAGTGGCTCCGTTCGAGGATCGTACAACCTTAATGGAAGTGGCTTCTTTCCTTCGCGAAACAAGAATGTCAATTTCTTGTTCTTTAAAGCATGCAAGTCTTTGCGAATTGTCTTAATATTTTTCCTCACTAGAGGAGGATACTTGCTCATAAAATTTATCTTCAATAGCTTTGTAATTTGCTCAAATATGTAATAAACTGACTCTATATCCTTCCACTGATCCTTGAAATCCGAAATAAGTTTAACAGCAGTTAGGAGAGTTTTGACTTTGAACTCGTCAGTTAGCTCTGCATTTTCTAAATCTTTTGCAGTCATCTTAACTGTTTCTGGATCGGTTGCTGCGTTACTCTGATCGCTTTCAATGACCAGAAAATCATTCGTAACACAGGAACGTTTGAAAGCTAACGACAGTGTTTTGCTTTTTAAGATTTCTTTGGGTATAGCCATGTAAATTATGGAACTCAAGAAATTGATTGCTTCCGGGACATATCTTTTACTAAGTGAAGCGTACTGGAACAAAAGTATTATTTTTATCGTATTAATCGTTTCCCAATTCAATTATAAAGGCAAAAGTGTACTCACTTCTAGAAGTAGAGTCGACAGAAACAAGCCTTTAGAAATGTCCATCTTGCTTCTAACACGACCCTTTAATAATATGTCTGACATGAACATTATGCCTGGTGTAATTACTGAATGTCTAACTTTAGAAGTCTTAATTGGAAATAGTAAAAATATTAATTTAAAGAGAATTATCTGCAACAGAAAATTATTTTCACATTATTTTCAAAGAAATCGCTGACAGACAACATTTTTATTCCACTGGAAAAAAATCTTACCGTTTCTAAAGGAGGATATAATTTCTTCTTTACCGTAAATGTTACATATTTATGTGCTATGTCTTTCCGCAAATGATTGACTGCACTTTTTGGATTAATCTTTGCAACATCATATATGAAAGGGCATAACCTGAAAGAAAGCATTCAAGTGAAATATCCTAAATTTCTATGTTTAACATTGTGTATCAAGCACGAGTAAATTACCTGTTAAAAGTTTCAAAGCTTTGAACGATATTATTTGCTTCTTCTATATGGAAGCAGTTGCTCAAATATTGAACCAAATGTTCAAACAAGGTGGCTAAATTCTTTTTATTTTTTTCTTCTAATAACCGATTTATCGATGCAATAATTCTATCCAAAACATCGGAGGATTGCTCGGGGCAATCATTTTGTAACATTTCTTGTAATTCTTCCCAAGTGTAGGGCATGGCAGTTTTAATTCTGGCTTCGCTTAGAGACTCTCTTTCGATTTTGCTTGATAATTCACTATTATCTATACTTTTATTAAAACTCTTTACATTACTACAAAGTAGAGAGTCATTTGGATACGTCGTTTCCATTTTTGTAATCTGTACATCTTGTTGTGCCTTATTTTTTGTTTTATCATCCAAACATAATTTCTTTTGACTGCCCGTATTTTCTTGAGATTCAAGTTTCCTTTTGATTCCAGATTTATCTTGCGAATTTTCATCTTCGGATGATTGAGAACTATCATCTGAAGCGGAACCCTCATCTTCTATTTCTTCAATTTCAAAATCATCGAATAGATCATCGGCTGATTTTGAATAATTATTTGATTTGGCTTCATGAGACTTTAATTCGATATGTGTATTTACGGACTCAGAATCTTGTATCTTTAACTCATTACCTTCATTTAATGACTCATCAGATCTTAGAGTATTTCTATCCTGAGTTTTTGAATTATCTGAATTCTGTGGTCTAAAAGCATCATATTTTAATTGTCGCATTGCAATATCGTAACTATCTGGTGCTGAATTTTCTTTCGACTCTTCTGAATTAGGTTGTTTCTTAGACAGTGAAACAATAGGGAGAAGATCAACCCATTCAGAATCCAATTTTTCAGTTAAACCAATGGTCTGATCTCGCAGTTTTTGCCTCTCCGCTTTTCGCTTCTTAGACTCTGCAATTAATTGTTCTATGATGTCTTTTCTATGCATCGATGATGATTTCGATAATACACCTCCTCCGAAATGTGCCTCCTCCACGAAACTCGTATTTAATTTCCCTGTATCATTTTCATCGTCGCTGTTGTCACTTCTTGGATCCTCAAATTTCTCAATTTCGGCTAACGTCCGTCCACCATGAGTCAACATCTCCTCATCGTTCAAATTGAAAATACTCTTCTTCTCATATGCTTTAATTCGTTCCGCAGCAAATCGAGCCATCACTTTGTCTTCTTCACTCATCTTTGAATTTACCTCACCGATGCGTTTGTCTAGGATTATATTATCCTTGTTTTTGATTTTATACTCTTGCAAAAGAGTATGTTTACGCCTGTTTGCAGCCCGAGACCGAGCAACACCTGGTGCTCCCATAACCGTACTGTTCTTACGCCCCAAAGTTCCTTGCTTATTCTTGTTCATATGCAACTCGAAGGGGTTCTTAATCGCCACATCTTTCCCCTTTGATGAAACGAAAGAGCTCTTCTGTCCGTTTAATTTGGCCATTATCGAGAATCTACAATTAAATCCTGGTTAAATTTCCAGCTTCCAAATTATCCACATGCGTTGTAACGAAACCCCAAAGGTATCGTTTTCATAACCACAATTCAATACAATTCTATTTTCTTTTCAATATTTCTTAATACCTAGGTAAACAATTAAACTAATATAATCAATTTCACTGTCGTACTGCAGCAGTATTGCTTAAAAGGCACACGTGATTATGTTTATGCCGTCTATAAATTCAAATACGTTTTACATGTCTGTACCTTTTTGGATTCTGGCTTTTGACTAAAGGCCCAGTAGTTGTTTTTTATTTTATTCGTGTTTTTATTTTCTCCGACCTTGTTAGTTATTCTTCCTATTAACCTGGTTCAGTTCCTGCTACCTTCCTTTCTTGCTAGGTTAGTTTTACAGTAATGGCGATCAGAGAAGAGTTGGGAGATTGCTCACGGGCAAGGTTGCTCGATCGCATCCTGTGGTGCTCCCCGGTGGCGGCTAACATATATATGTACGTAGTTTCAAACAAAGATGAATCAGTAATCAATGAAATGAATTCTTTACCATCAGAGTGGAGACATAAATCATAGTGATCGCATATCTTCAAACCTGCCTAGTCCTAGATTTTGACCGGCTCAACTTCGCTTTTCGCTTGAAGCAGAAAAAGGGAATTGTTACGATGTCGTACGATTTTAAAAATGAAGACGATGTGAAAGAGTACTTAAAAAACTTGTACATGGAATATACATTTGGATGTTACAGCGAGAAGAACCCGGAAGGTGAGTCAGGACGTCTGCTAACGTCGTCATAACCTTACTTTTCCGTTTTCACATATTTATCCCCCTTTCAGTGTGTCATCTTCTGGGGGATTATTTAGAAGCTATCAAAGCGGACCACAAGAAGGCTGAAGAGGTTTACAAGGCTAATTGTGACGAGTTCGATTTTGGATTTAGTTGCACGAAGTATGGTACCTACCGCTACTTTGGTAAGGAATTTTTCTGGAATGCAGTTAGACCTTGTAGGAAAAGATGTCACTAGTGAGGCCTTTCAGTGAGAATATGAATTCTGGACTCGCAATGAGTAGACTTAAATTTAGAGGAACATTGAATTTTATTTGATACGTCGGTTCATTTCTCAACAGGTAGAAACAGCGAAGCGAACATAAAGGATGGATATAAGTACATGATGAAGGGCTGCGAGAACAACAACGTAGAAGGTTGCGAGCAGGCAGGGATTCTCTCACTAGGAAATTCACAAATAGACGACACGGATCGTTCCGAACAAGTCAAGCGAGGTGTAGCAATGTTGGAAAAGGGGTGTGGTACTCAAAAATCAGACAAGTCCTGTTTTATCTTAGCCAAAGTGTACCTCAATGGCATGAAGGACTACGTGGAGAAGAATTACTCGAAAGCGTACAAATTTTTTATGATATCGTGTGACATGGGAAACCCAATCGCTTGCATCAACGTTGCGGAAATGCTCAGGCGTGGTGATGGTGTTCCCAAAGACGACACTCTCGCAGATGCCTATAAGAGGCGAGCGAAGATTTTAAATGATGAAGTTAGAAAAATACAGAAACAGTTGAAGTTCCATGAAGGCATTAATTAAAATACATAGAAATTCCACCATGTATTATAGCAATTGTGTATAAACTATTATTACTAATTGATAAGAAGCGACAAGAGTGACTGATAAATATAGTACTAATTTTCTCATTACTCTTATCCGATTAAATTAATCTCTTTCAAGTAAAAGATTGAGGTGTCGTTATTCATTTATTTTATGGGTACTAATAGTAACATGACAACAAAATAGGCATTTGTTTATGAGAAGCCAAACTACATTTTTATAATCATTATAGGTTGTAATTTAGCTCCGACTAAAGAAACACGTCAATAGAACTGCATATTCATGCGTGCGATTTACAAATTCTTTATTTAAGATTTTATAACTCTCGTCGGTTGGCATAAGCGAGTCTCTCTTATGTATGCCTTCTTTATATCCTACTACAAGTTCCGTTTTAGCACTCATTGAGAATCTGCAGCCCATCACGAGTGACCCACTTCGCACCCATCATTCAAATGCAAGACACTCTGTCATCGTATCGAGGAAAACCTAGAGAAAGGCAGCAACAGCCCGTTATCATCCATGGCATTGATGAGTGGGAAACCGGTACATAATTATGGCCATCGACACAAGATAATGTTTCATGTCATCGTTCCTTGACTGCGATGGAAAGTGTATGTGTTAAAACCGAAGGCAGTGGTGTGAAGAGAGAAACCACTATACTAAATAGCAGTAGTGACCGTTTGAGATACCGCGAATTGATTATCTTGTTTCTCTATTCCCCCTACCAAAGAGAACATGTGTTCCCTTTCCACTGTTAAGCCCACTCTCTCGGTGGTGTATGTTTCAGCTGGGAGTCAGGATTTCCAATGGAATATAATCACTTGTCGTGATTCCCAAGTACGATGAAGTTCTACACGCTCGACGCTCTCCCCTCGAGATCTCTGATTACACTTGTTATCATCGCATTAACTTTCCATGGATCATCCGTGAGTAAAAATTATTTTATAAATTACTTTAATAGTTATGTCAACCAGTTCTGTACGGGAATTAATTGAAAAATGTGTGGAGATATTTTGTCAATTAATTTTCCATCCAGAGGAGTGATCGGCCATGTGGAGTACCTTCGTAACTTGGTATCTTTTTAGGTCAATGGTCAAGGGGTGAACGCGAAGAAAGTGAACGTCGATTTATATTACGAAGCACTATGTCCCGACAGCATTAACTGGATTAAAAATCAGCTGGTACCGAATTACGGAGATTTAAAAGAATTCATCGAAATCACATTCGTGCCTTATGGCAAAGCCTCGGTAAGTTAATTCAAGTGTCCTTAGCAAAGTGCACAACGAGAGTCTTGAGAGAAAAATATGATTTCAAAAAATCAGATTTCCTGCTTAATCAAGATCTGAAAATATTTTCATTTCATTACAAAGCAATTATTCCAAGTCCAAATGATGCTCCGAGACGTATCTTATGGCTTTGTTAGAATTTTTCAATATCTTTCATTTCACACTCCAATAATTCAAATAGTTTTTAAATTATCCAATCTCTGATACTCCAGGATGTGTTTTGAGGCACGTTCTGAATTTTGTAATGTTCATATTTCACCGTAAAGTAATTAAATGACTCGTCGAATCATCCATTTCTGGAAGGATGCTACGAGGGGTATTTTGCAGCACTTAAAAAATTTATCAATGTTCATATTTCCCTGTGAAATAATTCAAGATGCTCGGAGACGTGCTCTAAGGAACCTTTATCTCATTTTAAAGCAATTAACACAATCATCCATTTCCGAAAAGATACCCCGAGGCATGCTCGAGGGACTTTTATAAACGAGCCTCGCTCTTTGGAACACTCGTTATTGACCGTACGATTATTCGGCTAGTGTAATCTCGTTTAATCTCCAGAAACGACACGGCTTCATAATAAGCTTGACCGATTTACGGCGAAAGTATCGAGAGTCGATAATGCACGATGCATGTTAACTTGCAGCAAACAAAGAAGGAGGACGGGAGCTGGGAATTTGTTTGTCAACACGGACCCCCGGAGTGTTTTGGAAATAAGGCCCAAGCATGTGCCTTAAATGAAATCCAGTCCATTTGCCAGGGCCAATCCTGCCAGGAAATGGCGAGCAATCTCGTGGGTTGCGTAATGTCCAGCAGTTATCCTTCAACGGCAGTGGAACATGTATTTATAAACATTTAACGAGACATGGAAGGTCCCTCAAAACGGCGGAAATTAGGAATAAACATGCGACCTCGAGACCCTAATTTTCGTCCTTTGAGGATATTCCACGGCATATCTTGTTGCGTCTCTTCACTCATTAACAATTAACGGTTTGCTTTTTTTAGTGCGCCTCGAAGATTAACATCAACGCTGCCTCGATATCAAGAATTAACGAATGCGAGAAGAACTCTAAAGGCGACGAATTATTGGCCGCCATGGGCGTAAAGACCTTTGCTCTTCAGCCAAGGCTCAGCTTTGTCCCGACCATTGTTATTAACAAGGTGAATTATTTTCTGAGGGGTCCTGCTGTTTTTCCTTTTTATTCACGCGTTTAAAATTCCTCTCTTCCTTTTTCGCAGGCCTTTTCGCAAGAGAACCAGTCGGCTGCCTTGAAGAACTTTAAGAAACTCGTTTGCGACAACATCGGGACTGTGGAGAAGCCGGCGGCCTGTTAAGGAGTCTTTTTTTCTCTCTCTTTTTTTCCTTTCCTTTTTTTCTTCGTTTGTGGAGAAACCGAACAGCAGTTGCTTCTTGATGATAATTACATTCGGTTGTGTCTATTATGGGAGATTAGTATACGGAAATATACGGTCGTCGACGTTCTGCAAAGTTGCTCTCTCTACCGGGCTTGTCAACATTGTTTGGCATCTCTGTTATCGCTTTTGCAGCGAAGCGAGACCCTCGTTGTAGTTTTAAGTCGCTTGAAGGAGATTAGCCCACTCTACTTTCTGCTGAAAAATTGTTTAGACTTTCACTTTGAGGGGAAAAGTGGGATTCCATCCCCGGATAGTATCAAGGCAGCTGCAACGGGTCATCGATAGTGCAGGCTGCGTTTAGGATTCTGCAATCTCCTTTCTACGACAAGAAAAATTAAACAAGAAGATGCAGAGTCCGCAATGATTCACTCCTGATGACATGAAATTCGACGAGAGTTCGGAGACATTAGATAAGATCTCTGAAAGCGATTTTAAGGACGTTCGATCGTTCCTGATAGCGATTATCTCGTTAACAGATATTCCGATATCGCATTGGCTACGGACGTGTAAATAATTCCAAGACGGTTTGTCACGTTAATTAGGATGTAATTGTCAATATTGATTTACATGTATGTGCAAGTAAGGACGGGATATAAGCAATTTTGCAATGGATATTAATATTTCTTTCAAGAAACGCCGAGCATGAACTGCAACTTGTCTTGATTTCTAGAAAATATTTTTAACAGCAAGAAAAAAACAGGGACTCGATTCTCGAGTCGTATAAACGTTCAAGTTTCGCGTGCGAACTTGACGGTTTCGTGTAAGACCTTCAAACAATGTAAAGTTATTTTTTTTTTTTTAGAAAAATCCACTAGAGAATCGGGTTCCTGCACGTTGCGAAGATTCGAATGGGCCGCCGCGCGCGGCGGGTGCGAGTCGGTGCGCGCGCAGTCGCCAAGATGGCGGCCCGCTGGGGCGACCCATCTTACATGGAGACGTTCGCTCGCGGTCCGTGGCCTAGCCGCGCAGCGGCGTCGCCTTTGGGAGCCCACCACACCGAAGAGACGGCACGAGTCGGTGCAAGTCGGTGCGAGAACATGGGCGCGAGTTGAGAGCGCACCGCAACGCGACATAAATATTGGCCCGTATCGCCCCGTGATCGGACAACGTGAAAATGGCGGCGTGAAATGGCAGGACGACGGTCGGCGTTGACGAGCGCCGAGTCCCTCCCGGGGCCAGGGAGCGCCGATCCGCTCAGGGATCTCTTCGAGGCCTGCAAGACCGGAGACCTCGCCAGGGTCAAGAAGCTGGTCACTCCGAAGACGGTCAACGCCCGCGACACGGCCGGACGCAAATCCACTCCGTTACACTTTGCGGCTGGTGACCACTTTTTTTTTATGCTTCCGCGGAACCGCGAACGCTTTTGCGATACCCCCGCGTTCCCGTAAGCGGAAATGTCGGCGCACAGGTGTAGCTTGTAAATATTGATAACTCGGAAACTAAAATTGCGGATGGAGTCGAGGTTTTTTTTTTCCGCTGGTTCGATATCCTTGGTTAGAATATTAATATTAAGGCCGATGGAAGGGAGAGCATGGATAGCCTTTTTCTTCTTTGGTTGTCCAGTGAATGTTGAATCGTGGACTGAAACTAAGAATGGAGTTGAATTTTTTGGCGATCCAGTATCTTTGGTAACTCGTAGACTAAAATTGAGATTTGAGTAAAAATTGTTTCTTAGAGATTCGATATTCTCGATTGAAGTATTGATGTAAGAGGCGATGGGAGAGAAATCGTGGATGGATTTTTTTCTTGCTGACTGTCGATGGATTACGATGAACGGGATGAAACCTGATCGGACATGTGGTAGGGGAGTCTGGAAATTAGCTTCCTTTGTTTTCAAACGTCATGGAAAATTACGAATGGCGCTTTAGAACTCTTTTAAGTCATTTTGGCAATAGGGTCGTTTATTAGTTGTGTTCAATTAATATAGATTCATGTGAATTAAGAATTAAGACTATCACTTTTCATAGGTTATGGTAGACGAGATGTGGTCGAATTTTTATTATCAGCGGGTGCGTCGATTCAGGCCAGAGATGACGGGGGTTTGCATCCACTTCACAATGCGTGCTCCTTTGGGCATTCGGATGTGGTACGACTTCTACTAGAAGCTGGAGCAAACCCTAACACACGTGACAATTGGAATTACACTCCGTTACACGAAGCAGCAATCAAGGTAACCTATTCACAAGTTTACACTCCTTCGAGATGAAGTGATTCTTTGGCTCAGGGCCTGAATAATAATTGTGATTACGTTTCGGTGTCCAGGGCAAGATTGACGTGTGCATCGCTTTGTTGCAACATGGAGCAGATGCGAACATTAGGAATACGGAAGGGAAGACCGCACTCGAGCTGGCCGACGCGGTTACAAAGCCAGTTCTCACTGGAGAGTACAGAAAGGACGAACTGCTCGAAGCTGCCAGGTCCGGGAACGAGGAACGACTGATGCAACTGCTCAATCCTCTGAATGTCAACTGCCATGCCAGTGATGGACGCCGGTCTACTCCACTCCACCTCGCAGCAGGATACAATCGGCTGAGGGTTGTTCAAATTTTATTGCAAAACGGTGCAGACGTGCACGCAAAAGATAAAGGGTTAGTGTACGTAGTGTTAAAAAAATAGTGAATAGTAGTAAAAAATAGTTATGTCAAAAATGAAGCCGAAACAACCTGTACATTTTTTTTCCTACAATTTATGATTTACTAATGCTTCTGTTCTACACAGAGGTTTGGTTCCGCTGCACAATGCCTGCTCCTACGGTCACTTCGAAGTAACCGAGGCACTGCTCAAGCATGGTGCGGCTGTTAATGCCAGCGATCTCTGGGCATTTACTCCACTCCACGAAGCAGCTAGCAAATCCAGAGCCGAGGTGTGCTCATTGCTTTTAAGCGAAGGTGCAGACCCTACGCAACTGAACTGCCATAGTAAGAGTGCCATTGATGTAGCCCCAACGCTCGAGCTGCAGGAGCGATTGGCCTGTAAGCGTCGCATATCATTTTCAATTGATTCATGCTGTCTGTAAATCCGCTTCCTATCATTACACAACGAAGCCTCGCACTATATTAAAGTGATAAGAAAGAGTCGTTCTATATAGACTAGAACCAAGGACACGAATTTCTTCTACCCAAATTTCATGTGCATCGTGTCCTTCCTTAGGGCCTCAATAATCACGTGTTGAAGTTTCAAATTATTTGGTGCACCCAGTTCGGAGAACAATTTTATATTATCACTTTTTGGTGTATACATGACACTATCGTATCACCTTAATATTGGGTAGAATTTAGGTACAAGATATTGTACAGTGCGATGCATTTGTCACGTTTCAGATGAATTCAAAGGGCACTGCCTTCTGGACGCCTGCAGGCAGGCTGATCCAGCGAAGCTGAAGAAATACCTGTCCCAAGAGGTCGTCAACTTCAAACATCCGTACACAGGTGACACCCCGCTTCACTGTGCGGTGGCGTCGCCTTATCCGAAGCGGAAGCAGATCGTTGAGACCCTCGTCAGGAAGAGCACTGCCTTAAACGAGAAGAATAAGGACTTTCTTACTCCACTTCATGTAGCCACCGATCATTCTCATTACGATGCCATGGATGTTTTACTCAGGCACAATGCCAAAGTCAACGCTTTGGACGGGTTAGGACAGACCGCGTTGCACAGGTGAGTCACGTTAAGGTGATATGAAAGTGGCATCGAAGAGGTTTCTTTTTTATAAAACTAATTCGAACTGGATGTACCGAGTGGTTTCAAACTTTGTTGAAACATGAGTTTCAGGACATTCCTTACACCCTCCATATTTATATTGTAAAGTTTGAGTCGATTCGGTGCACCCAGTTTGGAGAAAAGTTTCATCGACAAGAACTCTTCGGTGCTACTTTCATATCATCTTACCGATAAGTAGAAAATAGACTACGCTGTGAATTTGAATTGTTTGTTAATATTGATTATTCCTTGTATTTAGGTGTGCCAGGGAGGACAACGTGCAAGCTTGCAAGATACTCCTGTCGTACAATGTGGATCCTTCCATAGTGTCGCTGCAAGGCTACACAGCGACTCAAGTAGCTACTGAAAATGTCCTGAAGATATTACTAGGTATGGTGATCGTGAAACATTTGATTTGTAAAAAAGTTTCATAAACGAGTCCTCTTTGATCACCTTAAGACGGGATTGATTCAGAGATTTGATTTTTGTCAGATCCACCGAGTGGGACGGAAGACGCCGAGGCCCAACTCCTGGAGGCGAGCAAGTCCGGCGACTTGTCAGCAGTCGAAAGAATATTGCAAGCCAATCCGCATGCAGTTAATTGTAGAGACTTGGATGGCAGACATTCGACACCGCTGCACTTTGCTGCTGGGTACAACAGGGTTCCTGTCGTCGAGTACCTTCTGGCCCACGGAGCTGATGTTCATGCTAAGGACAAAGGGTAATGCACACTTCGATAAGGCTGTCGACTTGTCATGGAACTCATCGGATGGAATCTAATTAGTTGCTTTTTATCCCAGCGGTCTGGTACCTCTGCATAATGCTTGCTCCTATGGTCACTACGAAGTGACCGAGCTGCTGGTCAAGCATGGTGCATCGGTGAATGTTGCTGACTTGTGGAAATTCACTCCGCTGCATGAAGCAGCTGCTAAGGGGAAATGTGAGATCGTGAGACTCTTGCTGAGGCATGGGGCTGATGCTACGAAGAAAAATAGAGACGGTGCCACTCCGTTGGACCTTGTCAGAGATGGTGACCAGGATGTTGCCGATCTCTTATGGGGCAACAGTGCTCTCCTGGATGCTGCGAAGAAGGGCAACCTGGCCAGGGTGCAGAGGCTGGTTACGCAGGATAACATCAACTGCAGAGACGCTCAGGGCCGGAACAGCACACCGTTGCATTTAGCTGGTACGTAGGGTCTCTTCGAGGTGTTACGTATACTCTGGTGCACGTGGATATATTTCCTGGGAATACGGCGCAGCCAGGGTATGAGTGCATATTAAGGGTACATTGTCCCTATACATTAATGAGAATAAAAATGATAGTATGAATGTAAAGTAAATAATGGAAATGAAAATGAAATAAATATATTACAAATTCCAGCGGGTTACAACAACCTAGAGGTGGCGGAGTTCCTCCTGGAGCGCGGGGCAGACGTCAACGCCCAGGACAAGGGAGGGCTGATACCCTTACACAACGCCTCCAGCTATGGACACCTCGACATTGCCGCATTGTTGATCAAGTACAACACGGTGGTCAATGCCACCGACAAGTGGGGCTTCACGCCTTTGCACGAGGCGGCCCAGAAGGGCCGGACGCAGCTCTGCGCTCTTCTCCTGGCACACGGGGCCGACCCCTTCCTGAAGAACCAGGAAGGCCAGAGCCCCGTCGACCTGGCGAGTGCGGACGACGTCCGGTGTCTTCTTCAAGACGCCATGGCCTCGCAGCAGGTCGTGCCGTCCGTCCCTCCCAGCAGACCTCCCAGCATCGTCGCTCGTACGTTTTTCGGGAAACATTCGATATATCCAGGGTGTACCGGAATTCCCGGCCACGGTTTTTATGTCGCTATCCTTGTTGAAAATGGAGCCGGAAAGTCTTGTACAAGTTTTTCATGCGACGCATGGTTTGCCTGTGATAATTAATTGAAAAGTCGCGTCAGCAGAGAGCATAGCACGGCTGCATACACAACTAATCGACCGGTTCGTTGTATATTAATTAATTATTACAGACGAATTATGCACTATAGGAGAAAAAGTATAAAGGACCTTTCGACTTCGCTTCCACCGATTGTGGGGTATAGACCTTCCCCAGGAATTCTGTGACACTCTGTAGATCTCAAAAACGTGTTTTTGTAGACTAGCTGCTAAAGTTGGGTTTCGTTTCCAGTTCCCGTGACGCCGCCTCCTCCACTCACTCAGGAGACTGTAATAATGCCATCCGGAGCAGCGATGACCCTCTGCGTGCCTCTGGCTCGTCCAACGTCCTGCTTGAGTCCGATGCCCTCGGTGGAGCTCTGCTCCGAGAGGGAGACCAAGGACAGCGTCTGCGAGGAGCGCTCCGGCACAGGTATCACGACGGTTGCCGGGTTCCTGCAAAGTCTCGGCCTGGAACATCTGCTGGAGCTCTTCGAGAGGGAGCAGATCACCTTGGACATCCTTGCCGAGATGGGCCACGAGGACCTGAAGCAGGTCGGGGTCTCTGCGTATGGCTACAGGCATAAGCTCATCAAGGGGATGGACAAACTTCTCAGCTCCGCTGCAGGACTCATCTGGCAGCCTTCCATCAACCCTGGCACGCTTCTCGTCGACCTCCTCGCCGAGGACAAGGAATTCCTCGCCGTGGAGGAGGAGATGCAGAGCACCATCCGGGAACACCGCGATAATGGACACTCCGGGGGCATCTTCTCGCGCTACAACATCATCAGGGTGGGTAGAAGGTCCTGGGGATGATGCGATAGTGCCGTCAAGGAAGTCTTGTTCGTGAAATTTTCTCTCTCAAATTTGTCCGTAGCTACTCTCAACATTTTCTATAACGAAAATTAAATTTCACGAGTGTCAGGACCTTCCTTAGTTTTTATCTTCACGCTGTGGAGTTTGAGACTATTCGGGACACCTAGTTCGGAGGAAAGTTTCATGCATGATTGGACCCTCGGATGCACGTTCACGTCCCCTTAATGGGACTGATTAATTGATCGATTGTCTTCGACAGATACAAAAGGTGCAAAATCGGAAACTATGGGAGCGGTACGCTCACAGGAGGCAGGAGGTTGCCGAAGAGGTGGGGGCTGCTCCTGTGTCGCCGAACGCCACTCCTAGAGCTACTCCTGGGACCGCTGCTCCGCAGGCCAACGAGAGGATGCTCTTCCACGGTAGCTCCTTCATCAACGCCATTGTTCAGAAAGGCTTCGATGAGCGACATGCCTATATCGGCGGCATGTTCGGAGCGGGCATCTATTTCGCCGAGCACAGCAGCAAGAGCAACCAATACGTATATGGGATATGCGGTGGAACCGGATGTCCCGCCCACAAGGACAGGAGTTGTTACATCTGCCACAGGTACGGCGAAGCGCGGTCTCTTAACCCCTTCACTGTCCTATTTAATTGTTTATAACAATTTGGAGGAAATTGAACCCCATGAGCGTTGGGACCTTCCCTAGGGCCTCCACGTGTATGTGGTAAAATTTCAAACAATTAGGTACATCACGTAATGATTAATTAATAAAATTATCGATGATTCATCCTGGTTCTCTTCCTATCCAGGCACCTGTTGCTGTGCCGCGTCACCCTCGGTAAGTCGTTCCTCCAGTTCTCCGCGATGAAGATGGCCCATGCGCCTCCTGGACACCACAGCGTCATGGGCAGGCCTTCCCAGGGTGGACTGGCCTTCCCGGAGTACGTCGTATACAGGGGCGAGCAGGCCTACCCGGAGTATCTGATAACGTATCAGATAGTGCGACCCCAGCAGGAGAACACCGGCGGCGAGGTCGGCGAGGATCGGTGATCGGAAGAGCCCGGAGGACGAAGGGCGAGGCTGTGTCGTCTCTGCTGTTGCCAGAGGCCGAGGACATGCGGTGTCCTGTCCTGAGACGGGCCTACACCGGTCTTCAGGGTCGAACCCCGCGAAGAAGAGCCCGAAGGACCCTCAACGACCCCCGGGAGTGCGCTCTTCAGCCTCCGTTTCTGCTTCGAATTGCTTTCTGCTAAGCGAAATAGAGGCCGCCTGGAACGGGGACGCCTTCTTCAGGGTCATCGGGCATGTCTTCGAGGTCCTCGCCGACGAAGCGACGCGAGGAACGAGACGGAATTGTTGACTGTATCCCTCCATTCGCCTCGAAGAGGCAGACGAGGAGGGACTTAGTGAAACTAAGGATGGACGATGGAGGTGGGAACTTGGAGAGCATCGTCGTCGGGGTAACGATTCAAGGTTATGCCTCGATGTCGGCCGAGGAGAGGACGTTGCTCTTGTTAGAGGTGTCCGTTGAGTTGGCCGTTTAGGGAGCTGCTCCGGTAGTACCTGGAGACCTCGAAGAGAACCCTGAAGAGGACTCTGTCGAGGACCCTCCGAGGAGATAGAGATGCGGAATGCCGATGTCGAGGAGGCGGTCGGGTTACATTAGCGATAATCGAAGGCTAGTCAACGAAAGAGAATGTATCGGTCCGTGAGGACCCAATCAGGTTCCTGATGATTCGGTCGTTGCTCGGTTTAAGGGGATGCCAAAGTGGCGTATAAAGAATCCATCCATGAAACTTCTCTGAACCGAGTGTATGAAAAAGTTTCAAAATTTACAATATGAATGTGGAGGCCTTGTAGTAGGCCTTGAAACTTCTAAAATTTCATTTTTTATAAAAAAAAATTTTGAAAACCCACAAACAAGATTTAAAAAAAAAAATTGAAATTTTATGGGTTTCAGGACCTTCTTTATACCTTAAATGTTCATATTGTCAAGTTTGAAATGATTCGGTACATTACTTTACAATATGAATGTGGAGGCCTTAAGGTAGGTCCTAAAACTCATGAAATTTCATTTCTTATAAATAATTTTGAAAATATCCACAAACGAAATTTAAAAAAATTGAAATTTTATGGGTTTCAGGACCTTCTTTATAACTTAAATGTTCATATTGTCAAGTTTGAAACGATTCGGTACATTCTGTTCGGAGAAATGTTTCATAAAAAGAACTCTTCACGCCGCTTTCGTATCGCCTTAAGGCTTGAACTGAGGGTGCAGGGTATCGGTCGAAGAAAAAAGAAAAAGTCGGTTTCCAGAGTCTCGACGTGTCCGAAGTCGAGGAAGACGCAACGGGAACTAACGGAGCGTCTCCTCGGAACGGGACGAGAAGAATTCCTGTAGGTTTCTCATGTCGGCGTCCCGGCCTTTGATCGCCGCGACGCCCGACATAGGTGTTTAGGTGACGGTGACTTATGTGTGGGTATTTAGGGCAAATAAGTGTCTAATAAATAAGCTAACGGTCGGAGCGAATCTCGTTATTTACCCATCCGCGGAGGACAAGGCCCATCCTCGACTTCTTATCCGTCCTTTTTCGTCCTGATAAGGGCACGGGTCCTCTTATCCTCCTTATAGGAAAATGCTAATGGCGAGAAAGTCTCGAATCGGGCATTGCGAAACGTCCTACGGGAAGGAATATCTAATTTATGGCCCTTGTAACCGGGAGTCGGCCATCTTGAATTTCAATATTTCCATTTCATAAGCAGTTTTTGCATTTCTTTTATCAAATTTATATTTCAATTTGGTCAGGGCCTTCTCATTCACGTGGGAAGATTTACAACAATTCGTATCCAGGTTGGGAGAAAAGTTTTATAAATAATTTTCTCATGTCAGGTGGTTAGCTTTTTCGACACATGGGCGAAATTCGTTGATAAGGGCAGGCAATATTGGACCTAACGTCGGACGCCTTTAGGAGGCTAAGAGCTAACCAGTGCAATTTCTCTTCCTGGGTCCTCCTCGGTAAATTTAAGAGTTTCACCGAGTGTCTTTAAATATGTAGCGGTGTTGTATATACGTGTATACCTGTATATATACTTATATACACGACTCGTTAGGTTTTGGCATCGAAATCACGATCGGGCCATCGTACGAGCGCGTGCCAGAATTACAAATGGCGGACCCGTTCCCGAATCCAAGCTTTCAAACTGCAGCAGACTTCTTTTAATGTCAAAAAGAGGACCGTACCTCTCCCCGACATTCCGGTCCGACCCTCGTAATGCCGACTCGTTTGTTCGGTGACACGAACCTTTTATTCACTTTGGAATACATTTAGAAGTTCCTCCGCGGAGAGAATTTCTTCCCAAGATGGCGACTCAAGGTCGGCCGGCGAGCCTTAAGAACTCCATTTTCGGAAACTGTATTACGCCCAAGGACAAGTAATTCCTCGGTAAATGAATTTCACTGGCTGCATGTTATGCCTGATAAGATTCGCTGCCTTTTGAAGATTAATTTCCTGATGTCAGGCCGTGATAAAGAGGCGATAAAAAGGCTCCATTTTGTGTCCGTGGTCGACGGTCTTTTAATTCCGGATTTCAAGTGCTACGGAGCATTGACCTCGGCAATGTGTAATTGTTAAATCCTTTTATTTATTTTATTATTTCGATTTTTAATCCGACGATTTAAACGAGTTTTCTGGTCGAGACTATCCGAGGATCGGAGTTCATGATTCTTTTGGATTGATTTTTTTTCGAGATTGTTGACTTTTGTTTCTAACTTTTGATGGTCTCCGGTGTTTCTTTGTTTATTCCCGTTGCTGGAATATTTAATCGACCGATTTTAACCCCATTATTTATTAACTCGTCTCCTGTTGTTTTTTGAACTTCCTTTTCGGGCATTGAACTCACCTGACGACGAGAACTGATATTGCGATACTCACGCATTTATTATTCCGTAAATATTTCCAATCTTTATTTTGCGTATTCGCAAGTGCGTCGCCCTCGTCCTCGTTCTTTAAGGGAAATATTTCGTTCTTTCATTTATCAATTCGTCGAATTTTTAAGCCCGATTATTCGAATCCCCTTTCCGGGCACTGAAGAGCTCACCTGACCTCGGTAATCGATATCACAGTACTTACGCATTTATTACTTCCGATATTATCTATCATTTTCATATCATTGATTATCTTTTAGTTCTTGCCCGAAAGAAATACATTTTTTTTTTTTTCGAAAAATTAAATTAAGACCTTCACGTGATAAAGCTTGAAATTATTCCGTGCTCCCATTTTGGGGAATAATTTTATAAATATTTCGACGTGGATATATATATATGGAATGAAAATCTCATATCAACTTAAGTCCACTTATCATCAAATTGGCCGATCGAGATACATGGAGGGATGATAAGGGAACAACCTGGAAGAGCTTCCGCAATTTGCATACATCAGAGTGCAATCGGCGCGGCTCTGAAAACTTGTTTATCAGGCTCGCTTTAATCGAATTCTTGGAGGAGTCGATTAATCGGAGGATCCCCTGATCTCTTCGACGAAAGAACGCGTTATCAATGCCTCACGGTCAAGGCCTGAGAGATCCTTTTCCGAGATGTACCTTCCGATTATCGAGTCGCAAAGATGCCGATTTCGTAACTCTCGAAAGGCCGGGGGGGTAGAAAAAAAAAAGTGCGGAGTAAAAATAAATAAACACGTAGTTAAGTACACCCCGCGGTTAAGTAACCGAAGAGACGAGTCGCGTGTGATTGTAACATCGCAAAGCCCGTTATTGAGACGACCTCGTTTCGATAACGACTTGGAAGAGCTGCACCGTCGGCCATTATTCGATCATGCTAAGATTTATGTCCAGTTATCCGCGGTAATTCCATGGACCGACATTTTTTAGACGCAGGAGAATTTTTTCGGATTTTTCAGATTTTCAGAATGACTTTTGTGGGGACTTTTCGGGAGATGTCTTTAAGGCTCTTCTTGACTCTCTTTGTAACTGAATTTTATTATGGCTTAAAATTTCATTTGGTGGATTGACATTTTTATGGGGTTGGAGGAGAATTTTTATACTTTTCGGAGCACTTTTATACTTTCCGGAGAATTTTTGTGGAGTTTGAGGGAAAGTCTTCGAGGCTCTTCTGAGTCGACGATAGGATTAGCTACGGACTGGCCCAAAAACTGCATCCTAAAATTGCAATTCAATTTTATTATGTCAACAAAATTTCATTCAATGAACTGACAGTTTTATGGAGTTGGAGGAGAATTTTTACAGAATTTGAAGAGAATTCTTTAACACTCTATTAGGTGTTTCTTCTAATTTTGGTTACTTAATTTGATATTTCTTTGGGCGGACTTTGTTCTCGCAATGTTCATTTATTTGAGGTAACCAATATTTTCTATAAATATAAATCGAGAAAATGCTGAACTTCGCAGGGGACATTTTATGCAACTTAGTACTGAATTTCATAAATAATTTGACAAGCGCTTCGAAGTCTGATACCGAGGTGACTCTTGTTAGGTACCTTAGGATGAACTCTATCATTTAAAATTCATATCAATATAATTTCATGACATGTCCCATACATATAAATCGAGAAAATGCTGAACATCGCAGGGAACATTTTATGCAATTTAGTAGTGAATTTCATAAATAATTTGACAAGCGCTTCGAAGTCTGATACCGAGGTGACTCTTGTTAGGTACCTTAGGGTAGATCCATTCATTATATAAGCCCGGTTTATGCGCCACGGTCGCGTCTTGACGACAATGGACTTATCAGAGCGTAGTCGGAGTAGATGTCCTCTACTCGGGCCGACACCTCCACCTGAAGAGGATTACGAGGGAGAAACTGGTAAAGCTTGTCTCTAAAGGCACGAAAGTAGGCGCGGGATCTTCCGGCGATCCGACCCGCTCCTCTCTATTCCTCTTTATTATTTTTTTTTCTTTCTCTTATGCACGGGGACGACGCAAAGCTAGAGAGAAACGTAACGCGAACGTTTGTACCCTAGTTGAGAGTATTTTAAGTACACCCTTCGTTCATTGATTACGCCTTAAGGTGATATGAAAGTGTCATATATATATATATACTAAAAAGTCAAAATATTTATAAAACTTTTCTCCAAATTGGGTGCATCGAATCACATAAAACTTCATCAAGAGATTATGAAGGCCCTAAGGAAGAACGTGGTGGTAGTGAAATTTGATTTTTCGAAAAAAGAAAAAAATTCCTATTTATCACGGCCAAGGACCAGACATTTTTTTTTTATCGAGAAATGAAATTTTACGAAAATTTTTTTGATTTTTTTTCTTCGGGGCCTCTATAATCACGTATTCAAGTTTCAGATAATACCCAATAAAGTTTGGAGAAAAGCTTGGTATATGTATTGGAAATATGAAATTTCATTTTTGATTAAGAAGAAAATGGTATTTTTTATTATCATTTCTATTATCATCGCATTTATCGCAAGCATGAACCATGAGGAATTTTGGTTTCGAGAAATGGAACTTCACGCGTTGAAGTTTTAAATTATTCGACGCGTTGGAAGTGTCGGGAAAAAAATAAAAAATAGATTCCCGGTCGCGTTAGATTCCTGCCTGGAGAAATGGACCTCCAGGTCGAAGTCGGGACCGGTTTCGAGGCCGGTGAATTTTTTGAAGAAAGTCACACGTCTTTGGAGAGAGAGACAGAGACGGAAGAGGGACTTTCGAAATGGACACTCCCTCGGGAAACCCGAGAATGGTCGGCCCGAAATATGGACGATGGATCTTCAGATTAAACACTAGAACTACCGGCGGATTTTTTTTTTCTTTTTTTTTTTATAGGATGGGCCATTTGAAAAAAGTCATTTTGACTGGTTTTAGTAATTCTAGTGCTTAGGCCAAGAAACGCAAAAATCCGCCCCGCGGATTTTTCACACTTTAAACTGCAACCTCTTACGTCATCGGACGGTTAATTACTATTTATATCCGCAATTCTTATATTCACCCGCTTAACCATTTTCGTTAACATTGGCGGGAATTATTGACGTTGAATGTTCGACAGACCTGAAAAAAGAAGTTTCACTTCCAAGCTCCTATTTAATGTTTTTCGTTTTTTTTTGGGGGTTTTATGTCAGAATATACACAAATGTATATATATAAACCCACTTTGATGCTGTTACATAACATCGAATTTGTTACCGTCCCATAAATATACACAATTCGTCCTCTTCTTTTTACGGCAAAGTTTTTTGATTCCGCAAAATCTTTGCCATTTTAATAACGTATACGTTACATGACACGTAACAAAAACACACGTAATTGTTAAGTGTCACGTGAAAACAATACTTTGTACAAGCATATCTCTCTATATTTGCATAAACAGACAAGCCTCCCAGACGAATCCGTCCTCCTTTTTTACGCCAAAGTCTAATCGACATTTCTCCATTTTTTTTTTCTAACCGAGTCGCAACTTTCGCGTCTCTTGCGTCACCCGGAATAATTTGACCGCTTAAGGAAATATTCCGTAAATGAAAAAGAGATCGTCTAGCGCAACGTTCCGTCTCGTTTTTTCGAGTCGAGGAGGGTCTGCCGATAAAACGTATCCTTAATTTAGCGGTATCCGTGATAAAATTCGGCCTCTGATCCGAGGCTCGGCTCTTCCGATCGCCTCCTCGGCGATATTTCGCGCGATTTGCCGGCGAAAAAAGGCGGAAAGTAATGTCGCGGGGGGAGGACAAGAAGAAAAGAAATATATCCCAGGCCGATCCTACGATCTCGGTGGAGAAAAGTCAGCGAGAGATCTCCGGCATCCCGGAGTGTCTGGATTTTTCCTCGGCCGAGGGCGAGGAAAAATCCACACTTTTTCTCGGCGTGGAGACATCAAAACAGCGACTCGATCCCTCGGATGGGGCAAATAGGAGGAATCGAATCGCAGATAAATGTCGCCGCGACGTAACGGAAACCTACGGAGAGACGACATGCAAATCGGGAGCAGATTTGGATTTCGGATACATCATCGACTAGGTATCGATCCAAACGCCGGATGGCCAAAAATGTCTACAGCCGAAATATTAACTATTCGGCAAATTTCCGCCCGTTTAAATACCGAGTACCGGGGAAAATAATGAAATTCTGAAACTTTGCATTGTGTCTTTATGGACGTGAATTCACGTCAGCGGCAACCGGGAGTAGAACTTGAAAAGACGTGAATTCACGTCAGCGGTCGCGATTGCGTTAACATGCATTTATCCTTTATCCTTTTGTTATTTCATTTTTATGGATAACTGGGAAGCTGCCCTCGAGGGATTGATAATTCGTTATAATCATTAATTTCACCCTTTACATATTATTCCTTCCGTAATTAATTCCTCATCTCATGTATTAATCTCTGTATCTTTATTTTCGCTCACGTGTGATTACCGTTAACTCGAAAACATTAATTTACGGCGTAACAGCTGTTAATGCGCCAAGATACGATTACCGTGGACCCGTGGAGTTGGAAGTACTATTTCCATATTTCTCTTTTTTTTTTTTTTTTTCAAGCCATTTCTCCATATTTCCTATATATACACTTTAGCATCTTTCTATTTTGTTTATGGTCTCTCACAATTTGATAGTACTAATTTAGATACCGTAATCGCGGGCGCTATTAATATACAGAGATCTTACTCATACATGCTCGTATTGGATTGGAAAGTTGTTTAGATTCTTTCGAATCATTAATTCCATAGTTTGTATGTCGCCCCTTGCATCTTTCCTCTTTAATTACGTATTCTCTCAATTTGATTATCTCCCAATTTAGACCCCCCCCCCCCCAATAATATGCAAATTTTGACAGTACGCAGAAATTTCACTTATGCGAGCCTACGAGTCGAATATTCTTTCGGTGTTCCTTAAACTCGGTCATTCTATAATTTGTATACACTTTTCAATGTCTCCATATTTTGATTACGGATATAAATTAATTTGTCGAGACGAGTATCGATAATGCGTGATAACATCTTCACGTGTATGCTCCGTGCGAAGATATTAATCGATTCGCCGCAGTTTCATCGTCGCAGTTTCATCGCCGCAGTTTCGCTGCCGACGTTTCGTGACCATTTAGCTCCAGTCGTTTCTCCGCAGCCGTTTGAAGACCTTCATCAGGGTCTCCATAATCACGTGTCAAATCGTCACATGACACGATGCACCTAGCTTGTAGAAAAGGCTTAATAAATATTTTGACGTCTTATATATATAGAATGACCCTTTCATATCACCTTAAGTAACGCGACCCATGAAACGAAATCGTCATTTATGGATTCGGCGATAGCAGGATGGGACCCCCCGCGACGGCATCTGGCTCATTGTCAAACTTAAAGGTCGCCTCGTTCGGGAACGAGGCAGACACTCAGCTTGGCCTCCCCGGGAAAAGTGTTGTCATCTGGAATTTTTTCGTGGTTTCTCTCGGCGCCGGCGCCGCCGCCACGCGGGACGTCGCGAGTCCGATTGGAGCGGCGCAGCGGATCACGTGAAGTGCACGCGGCGCCGGGTGCGCGCGCACGCGTGGGCCCGCGCCTGCGCGCTCGTACCAGAAGCGCCCGGAAGCGCCCAACGCGCGCAGGGAAAGATGCAGTGTTGCCAACCGTGCTATTATTCTAGTATCTATCCTATCATTTAACCCCGGTGCACTATGCATTTCCAGAACAATACCAATACGCGAATTGTACTGTTATATCATTGATGGAATTTTTTTCTATATATTTAAGCGTTATAAATGAATATATTCGATACTACAAACCATTTCCGTTGGACTGCATTTCCTATTCCTTTTAAATCCCTGCAAGATTTTTATTACAATATTTGAGCCTGTTAATTTATAATATTATCTTCAATGTACCAAATTGTGGTATGTTAATTCGATTGTACCGGTGGGAGCAGAAATAAAGTTGGCAACCACTGGGAGGACGCCTTGCACCGGTGCGCCTGCACTCGGTACTACCCTGGAGTAACGGTAGCCCAGTAACCTAACCTAATGAAATTTGGAGCAGTCAAGAATCGATTAATCCATCGATCGCCCTGACTCTGACATCATGCCCGACTCGATAAGGCGCTCCGATATCTCGAAATAGAAAGGATCGTAAGGGTACCCCTGAAAAGCAGCGGCGCCGGCGCCGCGACCTCTCGCGACCGAGGTCGGCGCGCGAATGGCGGATAGGAGTCGGCGCCCCTTCCACTCCGCCGTAGAGCCGCCGAGATGCGCGCGCAGCGCCGCAGAATCTCGACCGGTTCGCCCGGCGCTCGCTCGAGTCGACCGGCGAGCGACACGCGAGACGAACGCGCTCGACGTCTCTGATATTTATATATCACATATACATCATATATATATTTATATATATATGTACCTCGGTACAGTCGCACTCGCTTCAATTCGCGCCTTAATCGATTCCTCTACATGAGAGAATCCCCTTGAATAGTTGGAATTCGGAAATTGATATCCCAGTGATACGCGTATTTATTTACTAAACGGTGTTTAAAACCAGAGTTCGGAAGAGAGCCGTCAAGAGGCACAGTTCCTGTCACATCAGCGGCGACCGGTTCCTGGCTGGTTTTCGAGGTTAGAGACTCGACATGCTATATGGTTCGCGCATGCGTAGGGAAGGGAGATCCAGCGCGCGCAGCCACGTGTGACGGCGCGCAGACGGGGCGCAGACGGGCTCAGTCGGCGCGCGCGCCTCAGAGGGGGAGGATATGTCGAGGCCGATTTTGATGACCGAGAATCGCGTCGACTCCTGGGTAGGGATGGACGATTCTTTCGTAATACCTTAAGGCGATGTGAAAGTGGCGTCAAAGAGTTCTCGGTCATGAAACATTTCTCCACACTCTGGTACACTCCATTCGGTCGAAAGTTTCATAAGCGAGACCTGTTTGACACCGCTGTAACGTCCCCTTAAAGTATCAAAGACTCTAGGTTGCCGCTTCGCGGCGCTAGGGGCACCCCCCACTCCTCCGCTCCCCTCCCTTAGCCCCGCCCCTTCGTGCTCGAGCGCGACCGGCGAACGCTCAGTACGCGGCTGCGCCTCGGACCGGAAGGTACTGTCGAGGGTTCCCGTCGCATTCGGGCTCTGCCAGCAACATCCGAGAGGAGCCGACCTTGAACCCCGCCGAGAAAGGTATTTTCGGAGGCCGACCTCGGCTGCGTTCGCCAGGACTTTCCCGCACCTCTACCCACCCCTCGGGCATCCCTTCGAGGAAATGGTCCGTGCTGGCCATCTCGACCACGCGACCGCCGGAGAGGCTCAACTTGAACCAGAGAAGCGGGAGGTATTTTCGGAGAGCCATCTGCCGGCGTGATTTGGCACGACCTCGCATGGAATTGGAACGATTCGCGGTACCCCTTAAATTCGATCGCTCTTATTGAAATTAAATTGTAATTCCATCTTATATGTGGGAAAATAAGGGAAAGTTCTGAGATGAGTTTACATTCAAAATACCACCTCAATTCAATGAAATATGTTTATAAGTGCAGTATTAATTATGCATTAATTTTATTTGGTACATGGTTTTCCTACCCTCTATGGGAACGCTTCTCGTCCGAAAAGTACTCGTTGTGGAAATCGAGCCAAAGGTCAAACGCGTGACCGAAGAACGCCGCGCGATTAATTACCGCTAAGTGAAAAATGACAAGGTTATCGCCGAGATTGAGGTTAGGAATTGACCGATCGATCGCGATCGATCGCGATCACCCGCTCGTCCGGTGCCGAGCACGCCACGGAAGTGTATAATTACATCTCCAAGCCTGGCACCGGTTCTAGTATTTTAACCAACATTCCCGACGTTTACGTAAGCTTTGGACGACTTTAATCGACAATTTTTACTAACATTCTCGACGTTTACCTAAACTCCAGTCAACTTTAATCGAAGATTTCAAAACTAACATTCCTGACGTTTACGTAAACTTCAGTTAAATTTAATCCAGAAGTGTTAACTAACGTTCTTGACGTTAAGGTGATGTGAAAGTGCCGTCGAAGATGTTTTGTTTATAAAACTTTTCACCCAACTCGATTTACCGAATTGTTTGAAACTTTACAACGTGAATAGGGAGACTATAAGGAAGGTCCTGAAACTCATGAAATTTCAATTCTTTTCAAATTTATTTATAGGTATTTTAAGAAGTAGTTTATAAAAAATGAAATTTCGCCAGTTTCAAGACCTACCTTAGGGTCTCCATATTCACGTTTTAAAGTATGAAACGATTTGAGATACCCAGTTCATAGAAAAGTTTTATGAACAATTGATCTTCCGGATGCCGCTTTCACATCCCCTTAACGCAAAATTAAAGCGATTTTAATTTAGACTTTTTAAGTAATATTACCAGTACACTTGATAGGACGACTTTAATTCAGTATTTTAATTAACATCCCCAGGGATAAACAAAACCACCCTGGACGTATACATTTGTTGTATTTCGTTGATTTAATTGTATCTTGATTGGCTTTTGTCATTTCAGATGTGTTCGATCGCCATGCCTGCGGAGCTGATCCTGGGGCACAGTCCCCCCCTGTACAGTCCCCTGCGCTACAACCCCCGGGTGGTCACGGCGACCCCCATCTCCACCAGGTCGGTGCCCCCCAGGATCAGGCCCTGCCTTTCCACGGGATCGCTCTCCCTGGACGAACTCCACAACGGGAGGCGGAAGAAGAGGGTGGTCTTCGCCGACGACTGCGGCGGGCCGCTTACACAGGTAAAACGCCTAGGTACACCCGGGGCTCCGCATTGAACAGAAGTCCCTCCTAGGAAGACCCCCTCGACCTGGAGAACCTCGAAGAGACCTCGCCTTTACATGGGAATATGTATATATTAAGAATAAGTAGGGAAATATGTCTACATGTTCAGAATGTACGTAAAACTATCTATGTAAAGAAACGCATATACAGTGATGTATAACTTCCGGCCGTCTCGTGTGAACGAAACATATCCAAGAATATGTTTCACGGGTAAAATATGCGTATTAATAAATTATATCCGAGGATGCAATGTCGGATGTATCTCAGATATATATTATATTCATCTGAGACGGCCGAAAGTTATCCGTTTCTGTATCTGCTTTTTTTTTTGTATACAAACAATATGTTACGTATGTCTTAAAATGTATGTATTTACACGTGGACCGGATCCAGATAATGTAGGAGATAAGTACGCGCGATTTTTTTCGCTACCGAGGGTGAATCCACGGTTTTGGATGCGCATTTATCGCGAGATGATATTAACGAGTATTAAAGTGGACTGATAATGCAATGACAAAACGTAACGATAAATCTGGGCAATCCGAATTCCACGTGTTTAACTAAAATTGTCAAACAAAAAAAAAAACTGGGTTTAACAGCTATCCCAAATTGTTGGGATTTATCGTTGCGTCTACAATGTCTATGTATAATGGCCCCTCGGAAATTTTTTTCCCGGCTACTCGCGGTAATAATAATTGTCCCTCGATTGTGCACTTCGAAGACGAGGGGACTCGGAGGTCCGATTGGCTCGCCTTCGCAAACAAGCTTATTCTGGCCTGGATAATCTTTTCGTTATCGGACGTCGGGAGCGAGGCGTGATTAAAAGTCAGCTCGTATCATCGACTCGTGGGGAGTGTAAAAATTTAGATCCAAAATGCCCTCGCGATGCACATTAGTCGAGGTTAATAGAAAAATCCTCTCAAATTCGATGATTTCCACCACGTACACTTTAACGTAATTTCTACGTATGATGGACGATTATGAAGCGATTATTATATACACGGATTACGTTTAAACGACGCTCACGTTGCACGTATTAAATTATTTTAAACGTGGAATAGACGTTGCGTAAACGTTTAATGTTTCGTGGAAAGGGCGAACATGGGAACGGGGGAAAAGCGCATTTTTTTTTTTCTTTCTTGCGACGCATTTTATACAGTAAATGGTTTTATTCTATATCCGCTTAATTTTGATAATTTCTTATATCTTCAGGTACGAGTGATGTCGGAGGGCAGCAACATGCCGCCGTCCTGGACGAGCGCGTACTTCGCCGACCTCACCAGGAACATCACCGAGAAACTCGCGCCTCCACCCTGGGAGGTGACGTTCACCCACCCTGCCAGCGACTACCTCACCTTCAGGAAGAAGCTGGACCAGCAGGCGGTGTGCCTGGAGAACGTGGTCGTGAAGGAGAACGAGCACTGCCTGGTGGGGACGGTCAAGGTGAAGAACATCGCCTACGACAAGGAGGTCAGCGTCCGCGCGAGCACCGACTCCTGGAGGACCTACGAGGACGTCTACTGCAGCTACGTCGAGCAGCCCGGCACCCTGCAGCCCGCCCTGGTACTCTACGACACCTTCAGGTTCCGGCTCACCCTGCCCATAAAGTCCAACACCGTCGAGTTCTGCGTGCGGTACTCCATCGGCGGGACCGAGTACTGGGACAACAACCTCGGCAGCAACTACGTCGTCCGGAAGAAGCAGGAGGTAGAGGACTGGTCCTACCTCCTCGTCGAGAGATGCCGATTGTCCTAGACTGTCCTTGCTTCCTAAGGAATCTCTTTTCCTCGCGGTAAAGCGTCATGCCTTTCGATGCTCCGGGTGGCTGTGGTCATGTATCGTTGCATGCGCCATCAGGGTGACATCGGTAAACAGTCGCTGTATTTTGTATATACAAGTCATCCATCGAGAGATGCCGATTGTCCTAGATTATCCTTGCTTCTTAAGGAATCTCTTTTCCTCTTGGTCTATGTATCGTTGCATGCGCCATCAAACGGTCGCTGTATTTTGTATATACAAGTCATCGAGTGACTACAGTCATCCATCGAGAGATGCCGATTGTCCTAGATTATCCTTGCTTCTTAAGGAATCTCTTTTCCTCTTGGTCTATGTATCGTTGCATGCGCCATCAGGGTGACATCGGTAAACGGTCGCTGCATTTTGTATATACAAGTCAAGTGACTACAGTCATCCATCAGTAAACGGAAGCTGTATATCGTGGGTGACTGGTCATCCGTCTGATAACAAGCATTGTATTCTATGAGTGACTGTAATCATTCATCGGTAAACGCTCGCTGTCTCTTATATGTGACTGCAGTCATTAATTAGTAACCACTCGCATAATCCTCCACGCTGAAGGAACGTCATCACCTAGACGGGATTTCGGCATAAGCTTGTAAAGCGTCTCTCGCGGTTGTGAATTATCATGGTTCTTCTATTTTTTTATTTCAAGGTCGCTGCGAGGCACTGTGAGTCCCTGACGGTGGACGCGCCGGCGGGGTTCCTGACGACGAGCTCCTCTCCTGGCATCACCGACGCGACGAGGGTGAATCTGCAGTCCTGGAGTGAATTCGCGTCCTGGAGCCACCTGACGAACGATGGGCCCTACTGGTGAGGCCCCGACTGAGAAATCCGGCCTGGCCCGCCGACTGTGTACAAAGGAACCCCGGAAGGAAGTCCTGAAGGGACTCCAGAAGGAACTCCAGAAGTAGCTCTATAAGGAGTCCCAGAAGGAACCGTACACTGGGAGACATCAATGCCCTCCCATCCTGCACAGGCGATGCCGTATCTGCAGGGGAGGCATTCATGCCCGCCAATGTACACTGGGAGACATCAATGCCCTCCCATCCTGCACAGGCGATGCCGTATCTGCAGGGGAGGCATTCATGTCCGCCATTGTATAAGGAATCCTAGAAGGAACCCCCAGGACCTCCAGGACACCTCCACTGGATACCAAGACGCGATTTCTTCAGGGCGGGCGAGTCTAGAGAGAGATCAGGCAGACTGAAAGCTGGAGGACGAAGAGGAACCCGACGACCTCCTCCTTCGAGCCAGGAATACGCGACTAACACGAGCTAGGGAACTTCAGGGTCACCAGAGTCGACGAGTCCCTAGGGATATCAGGGATTACCGATTTTCCGCTCGACCTAGCACCTAATATACCGGCACGCGCAATGATACATCGTAATTGTAATCCCGGGCGATTAAGGTGGGACGAAAGAGCAGAATTTGCGGAACCTTTCTCCGAAACGGGTGGACCGAATCTTTTGAAATGCTGTCACGTGAATTCGGCGACTGAGGATGGTCCTGATGCCCGTGTGATTTCACGGGTTCTTTTTTAATTGTATATAAGCGTTCTTTTTTAATTTTAACGTAGGGACATTTCGTGGGTGGCGGGACCTTCCCTAGCGCCTCCACGGTTCGGTGGCGGAATACGAAACGATTCGGTGCATCCAGTTAGGAGAAAAGTGTCGCACGGACGGCCGACCTCTCAGATGGCACTTTCGTATCGCCTTAAGTATAATTATTTTATTCTGTCCGTTGGACGTAGGATATGCGAGCCATTAACGACATTTGAACGCAAAGGCAGCTGCGCGAGACAAAAAAACAAGGGACGTTAGTTTTCACTCTATCCCTCTGATTTTGCAAAATACCTGCACAGCCCAATATGGCGGCGGTCCATCAGCAGAAGGGAAGGAGAAAGGCTCGCCCTTTCCCTCTCTTTTCTTCACAACCGTCACGGGAATATCCAGGAAGCGATTTTGCCTTTGGAATTCATATTTCCTACGTCCGTATAGTGTCAAACACGTCAATTAACCTGTATAAATAGATTCCCCAGATTTATCGTCACGTGTGTAACCACCTTAACGAAGAGACCCTAAACAATTAATTGATGAACGATCCCAATTTCTTTCTCTTCCCTTTTTTATACATATACAAATACGCGCGTTTATGCAAAGGCGGTTACATCGTATGACGATAATCTCTAGTTATTTACAACTTGTACAGTTAACTCGAGTTTAATAAGGGCCACGCGTCGGTTAAATCTGCAGATCGAATTTTTTTCTAAATTCATCGGTACGTGAGTGGCCACCTTTAGGGAGACACAAGTTCAACAATGACAATTGATAAGTGCGTCCCTTGTGTTTCTTCTGTTTTATACATAAATATGTATGTGGGTGTATGTGTGTACGTGGTCGCGTGTATATGTATCCGGAAGATCTCCATGTGCGCGACAGGTGTAAAGGTGGCCCCACGTGAGACGAAAAACTCGCAGCGATTTGCAATCTGCACAGTTTAATTGGAGCTCTAGCGATTAATTGAGCGTCCATTAGAAAAGTCTTTTGAATCCGTTTCCACGGATTTATCGAAAACGGTGTAGCCAATTTTACTCGAGTTATTTTTTTTTTCCGTAGTCTGTAAAGGAGAAGCGTTGTCGAGGCTGTCGACGAAATACATGATTCGGCTGAGTCGTTTTTAAGGAAGAGACTTCTTGTCCGCATTTAAGATCAATTTTCGCCCTTAAGGTCAACCTTCGCATCTAAAACAAGCATCGCACTTAAGGTCGACATTCGCATTTAAGATCAATTTTCACCCTTAAGGTCGACATTCGCATCTACGATCAATTTTCGCCCTTAAGGTCGACCTTCGCATGTAAGATCAATTTTCGTCCTTAAGGTCGACCTTCGCATCTAAGATCAATTTTCGCCCTTAAGGTCGATCTTCGCATCTAAGATCAATTTTCGCCCTTAAGGTCGACCTTCGCATCTAAGATCAATTTTCGCCCTTAAGGTCGACTTTCGCATCTAAGATCAATTTTCGCCCTTAAGGTCTACCTTCGCATCTAAGATCAATTTTCGCCCTTAAGGTCGACCTTCGCATCTAAGATCAATTTTCGCCCTTAAGGTCTACCTTCGCATCTAAGATCAATTTTCGCCCTTAAGGTCTACCTTCGCATCTAAGATCAATTTTCGCCCTTAAGGTCGACCTTCGCATCTAAAATCAATCTTCACATCTTATCGACCTCAAGACCTCGCTGATTGGAACCAGTCGACTTATGACCTCGATCAAGAATTTTTGACGACCCTTCCGGTCGACGCGGTTCAAGGGTAGATAAGACCTTTTTATTATCACGCTATATCGCTCCTCTAGGTTCCTGGTGATCTTTAAATACTCTCTTCAGCTTCCCCGAGGCTACGGCCAGACGATGCTCTCGATCCAGTCCAGATACGAGCTGACCCGGGAGTAGATCCCTGGGGAGTCCTTCGAGGCGCAGAAACGACCGAAACTCGTAACCCCGACGATGCTGTACATGCAGTAAGGAGTGTCCAGGATGCGCTGAAGAGGACCTCCGCTGTCGCCCTGAAATCGGAGGTAGCCTTACACTTATGCACCACTAGAGGAAGACGTTTAGAGACTGTCTTATCACTTTCATGTCGCCTTAAGGTGTAGCGAATGATAAGGGAGTACCTGGCAAGTGTCCTTCTCTCCTGCCAGCACGCCTGCGCAGAGAAGAGAGGGGATCATCCCTTCTGGGAGTTGACTTCCACCTATCTCAGTCTTGAAGAGCTCCTCGCAGACCTCCCTCGACACGTAGTCCAGCTGCACCTTCATCAGGTCCGGACTGCCCTCCGTCTCGTCTTTTCTTATCCGAGAAAGAATCGTTCGATTAATTCCCATTTTTGTACAATCACATAAAGAGACTCGTAATGTCTAGTGATAAGCGAAACGCGGCTTGCGCGGTACAATTAACCCTTTGACTACTAAAGGCGTCCGACATTTGGTCCAGTATTGCCTGCACGGTTTCGCGAATTTCGCCCGTATGTCGATAACGCTCCGTATTCAAAGGGTTAAGGTGATATGAAAATGTCATACATACATATATATATATACCAAAAAATGAGAATATTTATAAAACTTCTCTAGAAATTGGGTGCACCAAAAAAAAATTGTTTTTATCTCGGACGAGGGGCAAAAAGAAAAAAGACATATTTTTAGGAAAATCTCCTGAGCATCGCGTCCGTGATCACGTTAATACATATTTGATGTATGGAATGACCCTTTCATGACACCTTGATGTTCTTAAATATGAATTAAGAAACTCGGTAGAGTTTCGCGCCAAGTATATCTGTATGAGCGCGGAACAATTACGTAGATAAGAATCTCCTGTGATTAATCGGAGATATCTTGTACCATTAGAAGTCTTCCCGAAGCCTGAAGCCACAGCTTTGTTCCCGTACTTCGAGGTCTCCGCCTCGACCTCGAGGCAAGCCGGCCTTACGTTGTGGTCGAGGAGAAGAGGCTTTTCCAATTTTAACAATGCCATGTCGTTGTACTTGGACGGTAACCGATAGTCGGGATGAATGATCTTCTCCATGACTTTTCTCTCTTGCATTGTACTCTCGGGGCTCTTCAGGTTCGTCAGGCCAACCCGGACAACGGCTGCAGGGTTCCTGAAAAAAAAAAGAAAATCGACACTTGACATCTTTCCTCGACTTTCCATGTAAATGAATTTTTTCTCTATTTTTTTCCCACGCGTTAAGAATTATTATTTTTTTTTTTACTTAGGCACACTTTCACGTTCAATAATGGATGGCATTGTTATTTGGTAGAGTGAGGAGTATATGTTGTTGTTGGTAAAGGATATTCCTAACGCGGGGAGAATTTTTCGGGGGCCCGTGAAATTTTTTGAAATTAATGGGAATCTTTTTTTTTTTTTTTTCCGCCGCAGTTGCGATCATTTAAGGACGGCCGGATTTCCGGTGGCGATTTTTTTGCGAGCAACGTCACCACGAGTACCTGGAAATAAGTTTCCGCATCTGCGAACGTCACCTCCACCTTCGACGAGGAAATCCGCGACCTCTTAATCAGCTGATAATCCATGTCATACTCATTGTGCATAATTCTGCACGTATCGGCGATTAATCATAGCGACTCAGTTTTCCTTGATTATTTCCCTAAAATTGCTGATTTCATGCGGGGTATTCTTAAGGCGATATGAAAGTGTCCTATACATACATAAAAAAACGTGAAAAAAAAATATTTCTGAAACTTTTGCTCAAATGCCACCGAATAATTAGAAACTTCAATGCGCGATTATGGAAATCCTCGCAAAGGTCTCGAAACTGACAAAATTTCATTTTTTGAAAGAAAAATGTTGGATTTATTTCGGATAAAAATTAACAATAAAAATTCTACGGGTTTCAAAACCAATATTAATCATGCGTTGAAGTATCACATGATTCGGTGCATACGGTTTGGATAAATGTTTTATGAATATTTCTACGTTTGATATGTATAGAATGACCCTTTTCTTATCACCTTAAGGCGGGGCTTTAGTTCGCCTTTTACGTAATTACAAGTAATGCGAGGGTGGGTACTCTAGTTAAATTACCCTTCCGAGGACTCCAGACAATGCGCTGCAGTCAAGATGTAACTTTCGGAGATAATTGAACCTCCGCAATCCCAAGCCTTGTCTGTTCCGCTTCCGAAGCCGATAACAGCCTAGAAATAGATCACATGATATAGACACACGGAGTGATAAAGGGGAAAAACGATTTTTAGGGCGAGTAAGACGAAGAAAATTGTTTTAAAATGTTGACGCGCTTTTATGCCAGCTTTAACCTTTTGGCTACTAAGAGCGCCTAAAGGCGCCCGACGTTTGGTCGAATATTGCCTGCACGGTCAGGGGAATTTCGCCCGTATGTCGAAATGACTCCGTGGTCGTACCTGGTGCGGAAATTCCGCAGGTGTCGCTTTTTCGCCGCCGACGATCAGTGGGGTTTTGTTTGTGGTGCATTTCGAAACCCTCTTCGAGGCCGTTCCTAATCGGAGGACAGGAGAGACTTCCTCCACGTAGACCAGCTTCGAGTACTCCTTGCACTCTGTTCATTAAGGTGATATGAAAGAGTCATTCTATATTTATATAAAGGATAAAAAATATTGATAAAACTTTTCCTCCAACTGGACGCATGGAATAATTTAATTTTAAGGATATATATATATTATTTTCTTGAAAAATGAAATTTCATGAGCACCACGTTCTTCCTTAGGGCTTTCATAATCACCTGTTGCGGTTGCAAATAATTCGTGGCACCCAGTTTGGAGAAAAGTTTCATAAATATTCCGAGGTTTTATATGTATATATAACGTCATAACGTATGTTATATATTTTATTTATATAAAATGACCCTTTGATAACACCTTAAGAATATTATTTCATAGTCGCGCGTACTTTCGACACTCTTGCGCTCCGCGTTGACAGCATCCCCGAAGATGACAGAAGCGATGACAATTGTCAAGACTCCTCGGGGGTCCAGAAAGTACGTTGACATCGTCTTCGAGGATCCGTCAATCCGCGACTGAATTTCCCACTGACCATCCGAAAGGCGAAGCCGAACTATAAGTGCGACTGCAATCGAATATCGATTATCGACCGCGCTGATTGCCGATTTAACACTTGTCCATGTGACCATTGACACAGGCTGTTTCTAGATGACCTCGATGACGGTCAGTTTAATGACAATTTAATGGCTCTCGAAGAGCAAGGCGGTTGAAACAGCTCGACAGACCTTGAATGTTTATCGCGTACTCTTGACATGTCTAGAGTCGGCTATACAAGCGTATATTCCGATGTTACATACAAGGTGACATAAAAATGAATAATTATACACTAATTATATTATTAAGGTGATATGAAAGGGTCATTCTATACATATTATAATGCTTATAAATCTTTTCTCCTAAATGAGTGCCCTGGATAATATGAAACTTTAACACGTGATCAAGGAGGTCTTAACGAAGATCTTGAAGTTCACGAGATTTCATTTTTTTGAGGAAAAAAAAATGATTTCTTTCGTTCTTTACTGGAATAAATATATTTAGGAGATTTTAGAAAATCGTGATTAGACTTTGTATTGATACAGCTGAGGTCTCTTTTCTTCGGGAATCATGCCAGATTCCGTAAGTATTCCATTTCGAGGCCAAGGTCAACCGAAGCATTTAACGCGGAAAATTGTGATAAGGCAATCACACCTGCCTGATTAGAAAAGTCGACTCCCCGTTAAGAGGATCGAAATAAAGTGGAATTGATCATTTTAATTCCGGTGAATGGCTAATCTTTCCATTGGCAATTATTTCTCTTAACATGGAAGAGAATAATTAGAGAAAACCGATCCATGTCCTCCGACATAAAATGAAGAATTCATTGAAATTAAAAATTCCGGAATAAGGATCCTAGGGAATTTAAAATCACTTGTACGGGATATTCATTGACACTCATTGGAAAAAAAAAAAAAAATCAGACAGTATGTGAAAAGCATTACATTAAGTTACGCCATATAAAACATTATATTAAATGAAACTCAATTTCTTAATATAATCTTCCCGGCCTTGAAAACGACTCCGACATTATCAGAGAAGTTATTAAGTTTATTAACCCACCTCCGAATGAATAACCTATGTCAAGAGAAATATATCTAGACGGACGCGGGGCGTCCCAGCTGAGTACACCTGAGATGCGCGCGCACACACGCACGTGCGTGTCGGAGGATAGGTGCGCGCGCCGCGTGGACGAGATCCGCGCATATATAAACCGAGATCCGTGCTCATCCCGAGAGTCCTCGGTGGGGATACGTGGGAGAGAATCGCGTCGCAGGATCGAGAGGGAAGCCAGAAAAGTCGGGGACTCCGGGCCAGCGCGGAGCGACCTAACCTCCAAACCGCGAGGACTCGCGCCGTTCTCGGATCTCTCTCTCGTATTAATACTCCAGTTACGGTGTTTACGCGTTTACTCGCGGTGAATCGATCGATATACCCATACATATACCTATCGGCGTGCGAACGCATCGTCCTCGCCTTATCGTCGATCTCGGTATTCCCTATCGCGGTGTTTCTTCGAAAGAGTAGTTGCCTCTCTCTCCCTCTCACGGGCGCCGTATATCGCCGTCTCCCTCTGTGCGCGATTCCGACACTCCGAGAGACATGCTGCTGCCGCTGGTGCTGCTGTTCTCGCTCGCTGATTGGCTGTCGACCGGCTGGGCACAGCAGTTGTATCAAGGTGAGTCTGGTCAGGTCCGGTCTAGCGGAAAGGTCTGGCAATATATCTCGAGACTGCATTCCCCTAGACCGGTCCAGCGGAATGCGCGCGCCCCGCATTCCCCCGGACGGCTACAGGGGAATGGCCGTTACCCCCGCATTCCTCTGGACCGCTCTAGAGGAAATCCCGCCGTGCCCCTATTCCCCTGGACCGCTCTAACGGAAAGCTCGCCTCGTCACCTGCGGTGCGACCGAATCTTCAATTCTTTCCTCCACAAAGTATTCACCTTTAAATTAACCAGTAATTTAATATTAATTATGTCTATTATCAGACCTTGCAGAGGGTTGGGGAAATATTTAAGCGCTTTTGGAAATTTTTTTTTCTTTTTTTTTCACCGTCAAAGAGAAGGTTATGGTAGCCAGATAACGAACTCGACGTTACTAAGGCGACGTCGTTTATGGATTTGCCGCGAGTGTGACTAATTGCAATAATCGAGCGTGTACATTTGACACTTTCCGGTTACTGATAAGCCCGTTTTTGTGAGTCGGTAGCGCTCCGGATTTATTGCCGCCATTTCTATTTTTAATCTCCCGCTTTATGCGCGCCGCGCCGTAATCGGCGCATGCGCACTCTCTCCCACGAGAACATATCGTTGATTAAAAAAAAAAAAAAATAATAATCGAAAGGTAAGAAACTCTTTTCTTGCGATAAAACGAGTAAGGTGAGAGTATAATGAACGAATTATTATTTGAATGGTTTTCTTTTTTAATTGGAAATTATGTTTCAGCGAATCATCTTCCTAGGATTTCATTTCCACGCTTTTTCTCTATTCTCACGATTTTCATGATTGTTATATGGAGGTGCTCGTAAAAGCGAAGTCGTCATTTCCGCATTGCCAAGTCGTGGGACTGGTTTGCTTCGCCTTTTTCCTTATTGCGAGTCGTTTGCCTCCGAAATGTTCCCAGACGAGCAGAGTTTAGACTTGGGACACCTTTCTAGCGGATATTTATGTATCTTCATGTATCGCACACATCACCGCTCGTGTATTTTCGGACACTCGGTGAAATTCCTAAATCTCGCCAAGAGCGAACCTGCGAGAGGAATTATTATCGTACTACTCGCTGGAATTTAATAAATTGATATATACAGTGAAGAATGAATCACTAAATAAGTAAAGAAATTATAAAAAGTATCATCGTCTTGTATAGTCAAGAGACACCAGGCTAAAGTATATGAGCGGTACTGTACATGATTTAAAGAAAAAAAGGGTCATTGTAATTTTATAACAATTTATATGCCATTAAGTTAGTACGTAAGCGTAGTGATTATCTTAAACGATTTTATAAGGTTATAACGGAATTTTATATATCACACATTTACTTATAAATTCATGAAAGAGATTCACTATCAAGTCATCATGATTGTAATCTTACTATCTTATGTACTGAATATTTGTCATCAATTTTATGAACATTTTTAACTATCTATTTTTCAGGAGAATATTGTCCGATATTTCCTGGCAAATCGATTACATATTTTCTGGGGGATATTTCCAGGTGACGACTGCAGCCATTTGTTAGACAACGCTTCTGGAAGATGTTCAACGATAGACGAATGTCAAGAGGTGAAGAACATGCTTCTAGCTGGGAGGAGACCCGATGCAATTTGCGGGTTCTCAGGGTACAGCCCAATTGTTTGCTGTCCAACTAGTCGCAGCACCGTACCTGTAATCACAAATCCTTCAACATCTCAAAGTCCATTTATCGACGAAAGTGGAGAATCCAACGAAGAAAGAGACTATGGACGAGTTGCGAGACAGAGTAAGCTGCAAAAAAATAACTGCGAAATTCCTGCAATTTGTGAAATATATCAGTGGTAGGGTAATTGCGTGCATAGAGATTTTCTGCCAATTTCTTGGCTATATCGTACGTATATTGTACGCATTTTATACGCATCTTATATGCATTTTATACGTATTTTATCTGTACTTTATACACGCTTTGTACGTATACTATTTTCATTTTCATCAACAGAGTGCGCCGAGTACGCCAAGTCCGTCTACGCCCAGATACTTCCCCCAATTTTGAGCGCAGGCAGGAAACCCGTAAACGTTTCTCTTTGTGCCATAAAGTCGAAGAAGCTCATCGTCGGTGGTACAAAGTCGGAGCCGAAAGAATTCCCGCACATGGCGGCCGTGGGTTATGAAACGGATAGCGGAATCCGGTGGCAATGTGGCGGAACCCTCGTCTCCGAGAATTTCGTCCTGACCGCTGCACATTGCACGTTTAGCATAAACTGGTAAGGTCTTAAATACGTCCTGGATGTTCACCTTAAGGGGATGCGAAAGCCGCATCAGTCGTTCATGCAACTTTTCATCGCACTGGGTGTATGGAATTCTTTCACACTTTATAATATGAACATGGAGGCTGTAAGGAAGGTCCCTATACTCTTGCAATTTCTTCTTTTTTTTACAATGTGTTTCGTTTATTCCAGGGGAAGTGCCAAGTGGGTGAGAGTGGGCGATTTAAATCTTGCGAGGGACAATGACAACGCGAAGCCGCAGGAACGGCAAATCGTCGAGAGGATCAGACACCCGGAATACAAGAAACCTTCTTTGTATCATGACATTGCTCTGCTTAGGCTTGACAGACCTGTCAAATTTGACGCCTACGTCAGGCCTGCGTGTCTAAGGACATTGCCCGAATATTCTGGCGATGATGTCGTCACGAAAGCGGCCGCAACGGGATGGGGTGGAGTAGATTGGGGTAATGAATCACCGAGAGACGATAAGCGGGAAGACTTTCCTCGAGAGTCATCCTCAAGCCGTTTAAAGTGACACGAAAGGGCCATTCAATACATATAAAACGTCAAAAGATTTATGAAACCCGTCTCCTGGGTGCGCCGAATAATTTAAACTCCAGCATATGATTATGGAGGCCCTAAGGAAAAATGTGGTGGTCGTGAAATTTAATTTTTCAAACAAAAAAAAAATTTATTTAACCTAGACTAGAACCAAGAACACGTATATATATTTTTTGTTGAAAAATTAAATTTCATGGGCACGACGTTCTTCCTTTAGGCCCTTACAATCACGTGCTGAAGTTTCATGAATATTTTGTATGTATAGAATGACCCTTTCATATCGCCTCAAAGTGAGGGAAATTAGGGCTGATTATTTTTCTTTTAATGCTTCCAGCCGACGAGGAAGGTTCCCAGGATCTTCTCAAGGTTACTCTGCCAATGGTGTCTGCACAGAATTGTAATCAAAGCTTTACAAGAGGTCCTCCTGACGCCAGAATAAGAAACGGGATTATGGGCGATTGGCAGCTCTGTGCCGGGGAGTTGGGAAGGGACACTTGTCAGGTACTTTGGAGTTATTCGTGTATTTCATTCGTAAATGGTAAAGGAAGAAGGCGTGTTGTAATGTACTGCGTAATCTCTTCAGGGCGACAGTGGCGGCCCTCTTCAGGTTTTCAACAACGAGCAGGAATGCATGTACGACGTCATCGGTGTTACCAGTCTTGGAGCATTTTGCGGGAGCGTCGTTCCAGGAATTTACTCCAGAGTTTATCACTACGTTCCCTGGCTGGAGAGCGTAATCTGGTCGTAGGGTTAGGTGTCAAATAAAAAATGAAAATAGGCAAAAAAACTGAAAAACAAATAAAAAAGAAATCCTCCCTCGCGGGATTTTATTCGCAGTATTTTCTTCCCTCGTTTTAAGAGATTCAATTCGCCGCCGCGACCGCCATTTTGAATTTTAGTTACCCGCTCGCCGGGTGAATTCCAGATGGCGGTAAAAGCGCTACATAGGATCTGGGCTTCTGAATTCTTTGCCGTAAGCAAGGTAAGCAATCTCCCAACTCGTCTCTGTGTAGAAGTATTTTCGTGTTTTTATTCGACGAGTGTTAGATGAAGGAGGAAATTCGAGGGCAACAATTTTGGAAATCGTGGAGGACTTAGTCGGAGGTAACTATCAACGCAGAGATGTCGGGGAAGGCGCTCGAGGATGAGGCAGACACGGTGAGTCGAGACATCAAATCTGGATAACCAAATTTCTGGATTATCGCATTGTTCAATTATGTGAGAATGAATAATCGTCCCATCTTTTGGCCGTCTTCTTTTATTGCGACGGCAAGTCGTTCTAGCAACTGGCAACGGAAATTGCTACTTGCTGGTTGCTGTTATTCAATCTACTCCATGTAACAAATAAGAAGCCAATAATAAAATATCACACAAATGACGTTGCCACTCGTAGCCTTACTTTTGATCCTAAAATACCTCTTTTAGTAATTTAGTGACCCCAGGTCAAAGACATCATTTAACATCGATAGTGAGGTACGAGTATGGACCATCGACGACATGTTTATTGACTTTTCTGCACGATTTACAATAAACAAGGGTTTATTTAAAAATTAGTTCGGGGTATACGATTCCTGTAGAGGTATTAAGGAGGGATGACAAGATTCTTTGATGTTATAACGGCAGGATAAATGCCTTTGTAATTCGTAGCTGACACCAGTGTTGGTAGCAGCTCCGCCAGACTCGCCAAGGAAGTCCGTCAAGTCGACGGCGGTGGTGAAATACTCTGCAGTTCGAACGCCTGCGACGTTCGCTCAGTTGCGATGCAACACGGACTTGAATCTCCCACCCAGCAACTGGCTGAGCAACTCGGTCGAGAGTTATGGCTTGCAAAGTGTTTGGTCGCACAACACGGGATTCTCCAGTTTCCGCATGGCTCACATGTTTCCAGACTGCGTCGGCGAGGTGGACGTGGTGTCCGATGCGGAGAATATCAAGAAACTTCTGAAAATGCCCTACAAGCATGGCCCGGTGTCCATGATGGTCCACCGAATCGAAAACACTTTGCTTTTAGACGACTTTGACATCCACAAGTATTTGCTCCGCCAAGCCGAGAGCGATTGGGAGTGGCTGAAGAAGTTCTTCTACGAGCACGTTCTGCAGAACCTCGGTGACAAGGAGAAGAGGTTTTTCCATAAAGCAAGCAGCAGGAATGCGCTACAGCAGAAGAATCTCGTCTCGAAGTTCCTATATCATTCGTTGGTTGTCGAAGACCACCATGACGAGGCCAAAAACGAGGCTCCGACATTGCCAGTTGAGAAGTTGGAACCTCGATTACCGGAACCCACCCTGGAGGAGAAATTACCCGATCCAAGCTCTAATCATAACTTTGCTAGGAACGTTCTCTGGACTTTCGAGAACATACAGATGTTAATCGGCACAAATATGCCCATATTTGGCGGGCAGACACATCCTTGTATCAGTCTAAGGCTTCGAGACATGACGAAGCCAATTAACGTCTTGACCGGCATCGACTACTGGTTGGATAATTTGATGTGCAACGTTCCCGAGGTTGTCATGTGCTATCACCTCGACGGCATCGTGCAGAAGTATGAATTAATTAAGACGGAAGATCTGCCGAACTTGGATAACTCAAAATTCAGTCCTAAAGTAATAAAGGACGTTGCGCAGAACATTTTGAGCTTTCTGAAAAATAATGCTACGAAGGCTGGGCATACTTATTGGCTCTTTAAGGGCAAAGATGACGATGTTGTGAAATTATATGACTTGACGTCGTTGTGCAGTGACATATCCGATGCCAAGGGCCAAAATCCGTTTACAGTTCCTGTGGCAATGTTGTTGTATCGAGTGGCTCGTAATATGAAGTATTCGTCTGATTATCTCAGACATCAGGGCACCATTCGGGTGCTGCTCCAAAATTGTATTCAACTACTGGCTAAGGAGAAGTATCCACAGATAATTACGTCTGCACATTATATGTTGTCTGATTTGTATGTACCAGCTGATACCGATCCTGCAAATCCAGGTCTCGCTGATCAAAGCGACGAAGAAGATGCTCAGAGTGAATATAGTCCTCCGGAGGGTCAAAGCGGGAAGGAAGAAGTTAGTGCTGCGATAGAATCTTTAACGTTGGGCCATGGTAAGTTTGTTGAATATATATAAAGAGAAAATTCAGTTGCCATATTTGCGATATTTAATTTTTGTTATAAAATTTGTTCATGGAATTTATTTATAAACTCTTTTCAATCAATCTACTTTCAGTCGAGGATCAATCGGACTCCGAGGAGACAAAGTATAAACCGCCACCAATCTGTGGCACGGTGGAGGATAGATGTCGAATAGCGTTGGAACATGTCTCTCAAGGTCTAGAATGTTTAAAATATTTCCCAACCGATGACAATTCCGACGATGAGCAGAAAAAGGCCGAGAAAAAGGAGACCGAGAGGAAAAACCTGCAGAAGTTTGATGAAGCCAATCAAAACATGGCCAAACCCTTCGAAGCGATACCAATGCCTTATACATCTCTGTCCAGCCGAACAGTTAACGAAGAGAGTGATGAATCGTGTACCAACAGTCCGAGTCATCGTAAGAAGAACAAACAGAGAAAGAACAGGCAAAAGTCTGAGCGAAAGTCATCGAAGGACTTGACCGAAGAGAGCTCACCGAAGGCTTTGCTCTGCAAATCCAAAGTAGAGACGCTGCCTACTTGGCAAGCTCCCCAAAAAAGTGATAACGTCAGCTGGCACACGTACTTAAAAATCCTCCTCTACGAAAAGGCTTGCCTGATTTTTGCAGTTCTGGCCGAAGACCAGTATTCGAATAAAAACTATGGTGCTTCTTTGAGATACATCCTGGCTGTGCTCCGATGTCAAAGGATACTCGAAACATTCTGCGGAATGAAGAACGACAAGCTGGTCAGCTATTTACTAGGCAGAGCCGGAGATAGTTGCTTCATGACAGTTCAAGAATGGTCCAACGTTGAGCGACATCAAAGAGACTACGAGGTCAAGAATGAGATCGAAGACAAGATCATCAACGAAGTTTTCGCAATAGAGGAATTGGACACCAGTAGGTATCGAGGACTTACACATGCAATATTTCTCTTCGCTCTGTTTGCTACTCATTTAAACTATCAATGGCTTACAATTTCAACACTCGTTTACAAAACTTTTTTCTGCATACCCCACGTGAATCCGTATTGTCTAATCTTTTAAAAAGCATAAAAGCATGAGTATCAGGATCTTCTGTTAGGTTATCCATATCCACGTGGTAAAGTTGTAATTAATATTTCCACTTTCATACCTTAATAATTTAATTCAAGATGACTCAGAGTTACTGCCCCAACACTTGGAGAGGTTAGAAAGTGTCCTCGAAGCTTCTCACAAGTGTTACGAGAAAGCTTTGTCGTTGGAGCCTTCCGATGTCGACAAGAACAATCTCATGCGGAGACTTGGGAACAGTCACAACGAGCTGGGGATTCTTTACATGAACCAAGCTACAGGTGCGTAGTGGAGATACCAATAATGTTTGCAATTACCTTACGTCCACTAATAATTACTTTTTAAAATACAGCTCGATACCAAGAAGAGACGAAAAATTCAAACAACGAGGCTGTCTCTCCCTCGCCAGTTGTGAACAACCTTTTGGCTCGTTCTTTGTCGCATTTAGAGGCAGGAGTAAAAGTATTCGAGATTGTCAGAGACGAAGCCAATCTGATTCTCCTGCATTCAAATACTGGCCGTGTCATGCGTTTATACGCACACACTCACGTGAAGCAGCCTGTGTTAGAGAGACAATACTACGATAAAGCTCTCGCCAGTTATCAAAAAGCACTGCAAGTACTTGGCTCTCGAAAACGCAATCCGGCAGTTTGGGACACAGTCTCTTGGGACCTTTCCACCACCTTATTCACGATGGCTACGATTTTAGTGGATTACCCAATTGCCAGTAACAAGGTACACACATGTACATTTATTGCACATGAAAACTCGAGATTCAATCGACGTCGATGAACAGGTCGTTCGGAGAAAAAAAAATCAAAGCGTTCCAGTCCATGTTACATAAACAATTTTTAATTAATAATGATAACTGCGACACTCTTTAAAAAAATGTGGCTTATTCGAGTCGAATAAGAAATTTCCTTATGGCTTTCACATTTACATTCTACGGTTTAAATACACCTAATTGAAAGGGAAATTTATAAACGAAGTCTCTGACGTCACTCATGTCATCTTAAGGTCTTCTCTCTCTCTATTTTTATTTTTTATCTGCAGGCCAAGGAGGAGCTAGAGAGGGAAGTCGCGGACCTGCTGCAGAAGGCGTTGAAGTATTGCGACGTGGAAACACCTGGACCTCGACAACCAATATATCAGTATCGAGCTGCCATAATTCAGCACAGATTAGCGTCTCTTTATCACTGCGTATACAGAGAATTGGACCCGGACGCAGACCCGAATAAACGCAAAGCGAATCTGCAGCGGTGCAAACATTATTACGAGAAAGCCTCGAAATTGTTCCTATCTCTGGAGCAACCTGGGGAATTCCTGACGGTGCAGATGGAATGGGTCGCCCTGGCTGAGCTCCAGGCACAGAGTAAGTAAAAAGTCAGACTTTGTCGCAGACGTCGATTGTAGGTGTTAAAAAGAAACCAGTGATTTTTTAAAAGATATGATATCAGTCCCGGATTCAGTGGCAGCTATTCGATCGCCTTGGTTTATTTGTAAAAGGGAGTAAAATGTGATTTATTCTCTCTCTTCAGCGTCCACTTCTTTCAACGGGAAGCTGAAAGCTTATCAAACTGGGCTGGACCTGATCCTGAAGTGTCGACCCATCATCGAGCTTATGCATGAACGAAACAAGTCCAGAGACGCGAATGAGACAGAAGAGGGTGAAGATAATCGCGAAAATAAGGGCGAAAATCATCCCGAAGATGAGGAGAGAACCGCCGAGGAGAAGAAACAGGCTGAAGACGAGAATGGCCTCGTCGTCCTTCTGGAACAGACTTTGCAGTTCTTCCTGCGCTCGCTAACGAAGCTCTGCCTCGGCAAGAACACTGGCAACACCAAGAAAGAGTAATCCTCTCCTTTTCTTATATCTTTGGAGTATGATGTCAAGATCAGGGAATGAAAAATGACGCGAGGGATTTTTTTTTAAAGTGAGACTCCATTGTCACGACACCCAGAGTTCCCATGTTAAGGCGAAAGAATGTACATTGTCGATTCAGAAGTTTCACTTTCAAGCCGCGCGACAATTTTTCTTTCACTCTGGAAAAATCGTGGAGGTAAAACTGACTCGGGGATTTTCATTCTGTTTATTGTTCCCAGGTGTGACGCCTTGGCGAATGTCTATAAACAATGCTACAGCGCCACTCTGAGGCCGGGGACGATGTCGGGGTCGGCATTGACGGAACACATTGCTCAGCTTTTGCGGAAACTCGAAGGGATTTTGGAGAAACGAGAACAAGCTTAGACCGAGTGAATCGTTAAAAGACTTTTGCAAATAGCGAGGAAGATATTTCACTCTTCAAGTTCTCGGTCCCGTAGGTCTTAGCGCCGAGGGTCTTGTACATATGTTGATAAGAAAAGCTTCTATTTATCGGGATGAGCGATTCCTAAGAGGCGAGGACTCTCTGATTCGATTGCGCCAACAACTCGAAACGAGAGGAAAAAAAAAAAAAGAAATCAAACGGCAGTTTTATTCTTTTTTTTAATTAATCCTACGAATTGTAAGATATTCAGTGCGTGGGAGTGTTTCGTTACATCTTCTGCAGTCTTCGGTATAAATTCTAAACCCTGAGAGAAATTCAATTCGTAGGAATGATTCGTAACATCTTTTGCAGTCTCCTGTATAAATTCTAAACCCTGAGAGAAATTCAATTCGTAGGAGCGTTTTGTTACTTTTTTATCCCCGAGATGTCGGAGCAATCGGACCGTAGGAGTCAGCTGTTAACTCGGATACAGGATCGAGTTTTTAATGTAAGCACCGGAATGACGGAGAATTTCCAAAAGTCCCCCGGCACTTGTCTTCTATCTGGGTTTCCCTTTCAATGTTCCGTCGCTTTTGCGGCCCCTGGTGGGACCTCTCTCTCTCCCTCGGGCTTTTATTTCATTCAATATTCAGGATCGGACGTAGAGTTCCCGGATGCGTTTTGCTTGATGGGTCGGCACGTTTCCCGTATATAGAATGGAGGGGTAAAACCGTAGGAAACGCAACGGCCGCATCCGTGCAATGCTCGCCACGTTTCCGAATGTTCTCATAATGCCAAAGAAGGCCAGTCGAGATGAAATATGGCCTGGAAACGTCCACAGTCTGAACCAAGGGCAAGAAGAATTCGGCTTCTCGTCCCCATTTTTGGCATCTCTCTCCCGTGGAGACTTCAACGCCCGACGTGTAAAAAAAACCGATCCCGGGATCCTACTCAATAAATCGTTAGTCATAAATTAGGATAATTTAATTAAGTGTATGCGTTTCACTTTGAAGTTTCTCGTTCTAAGATGGTTTTAGATATTATTTCCTATCCGTTGAAATTCTGTTCGCTATTATCCTCGAGGTTTTTATAATAAAGACTAATGGTCAGGATTCAATTTTGCCTGGTAACGTAGTCGACAGAATTTCAGGTTAAACAACTGGAATTCTGGAAATAAAAAAAAAATAGTCCAGTTAAAATAACCAGAATTTCGGTAATTAAAAAAAAAAAAAAAGAGCAGCTATAATAATCGAAATTTTGGTTCCTTTAGCTGAGCTTTTTCTTTGCGCAGGCATGTGTCTTGATAGCGCTCGGTCCCTTATCAGCAGATAGGGACTAAAACTGGAGTTCAGGAAGCTCGGCAAGGTGTTGGGCACATTCGTGCCGCGGTTTGCACGTTGGCTCGGTTCCTGGGTACTGCCTCGACCTGGGGGAAGGGCTTCCTCGTGAAATATGGCCTGAAAACGTCCCGTTGGACTGGGGCGGCCGGGAGGCAAAACTTTCATATATGTCGGAAATTTGAATAAACAGACGGAACGTGCCCCGCTTTAAAACGACCTCGTTTTAGAAGACGAGGAGAGGATGCCTCTCGGACCTCGTCGCCCTAATCCGAGACTCTAATCCTGAGTCTGGAATATCGGGATTTCGGGACCTCCAGGACCCGGAGAGCGTCTCCAGTGCGTTATTCAGGAGGAATAAATTCGGGAGAAAAGGAACACGCCAACGTGTACGCGGTGTAAATTAATTAATTAATTACACCGGCCCTGCCAACGCGTTATGACTTTTTTTTTTCCCCAGGACCTTTTTACGAGACCTTTCCCTCGGGACTTTTGTTCCCCCTTTTTTGCGGGATTTTCGAGAGGGACGTGGACATTTTTACGCGGAATCTCGAATTAGCCGAGACGCGCCGTAATTTCCCGGATATTAAACATTATTTTCTTCTCCCTTTTCAACATTTTTTAACCGGGGATAATGAAAATACTGGAGACATGTTTACAAATGATCAGCTGATCGATCGGCGTCGAGGACAATTACACAAAGTATTTCATTCTTTTCTCAATACTTGACAGAAAATTGAAAATAATAGTTACTTAGCGTTTGAAGGAAATTACTTAATTATTTTGCAATTTATCGTCAATGTAATTTAACGAAAAAGAATGCGCTACCGCTAAAAAAATAGTTTAAATGTAAAAGTGGAGTTTCTTGTTTTTGTAGGTCAGTTTGAAGGAAAAGTGTTTTTTTTTTTTTGGGAAAACAAATTTGGTGTCAAGGGGAATTTTTCCCCCAAGGGAACTCCATCCCCTCCGCTCCACTTTGATCGATCAGCTGATCGATCGGCGTCGAGGCCAATTACACAAAGTATTTAATTCTTTTCTCAATACTTGACAGGAAATTGAAAATAATAGTTACTTAGCGTTTGAAGGAAATTACTTAATTATTTTGCAATTTATCGTCAATGTAATTTAACGAAAAAGAATGCGCTACCGCTAAAAAAATAGTTTAAATGTAAAAGTGGAATTTCTTGTTTTTGTAGGTCAGTTTGAAGGAAAGGTGTTTTTTTTTTTTCGGGAAAACATAAATTTGGGGTCAAGGGGAATTTTTCCCCCAAGGGAACTCCATCCCCTCCGCTCCACTTTGATCGATCAGCTGATCGATCGGCGTCGAGGCCAATTAGACAACAGGGCGGTATCGCGTTTGTCCTCGTTACTCCAGTCAGCGGGGGCGTAATGGCGAAGAATAAAGGCCGAGGATATTGCCGGGTCCGTACGTGACCGTACATACGTATGTGTGTATGTGCGTAAGTTTCTAAGAAGGCCGCCGGCTGCTTTCGATCCCACCAAGCGGCAACAAATCAGAAGCGATCGCTCGTCCATCTCGAAAAAGCTTGAAAAAGCTCCGGAGAGGAGGTCCAGGTATTTTTACTTTTCCTCTTAAGCCTTTATATATATATAACGCCTACGAGCGTGAAAATAGAGATATACAGGTGTACATATATTTATTAAATTATTTATTTACAGGTAGACTGACAATCAAGAAGATCAATCGCTCCTATTTCGTTCTCTCTTAGGAAAGGAATGACACGCTGTTAAAAAATATGGTGAGTTTATAATGCAGTTAAAAAAAAAAAAAGGAAAAAATTACTGCAAGTTTGTATTATTTTTCTTCATTTTATTCACTTTATTACATTAATTCACTATTAAGATGTAAAGTGTATAATTTACCTGGACTTGCGTACTGAATATTTTTAACGGTGTGCCGTAAGAGTGAAGAGGGATTTTTTTTTTTAACAGCCAAGTCGAGGACAATTAATTCATTATTAAATTGTAAAATGTATAATTTAGCTAGACTTGCGTACTGAATATTTTTAACGGTGTGCTGTAAGAGTGAGGAGGGATTTTTTTTTTTAACAGCCAAGTCGAGAACAATTAATTCATTATTAAATTGTAAAATGTATAATTACCTAGACTTGCGTACTGAATTTTTTTAACGGTGTACTGTAAGAGTGAAGAGGGATTTTTTTTTTTTAACAGCCAAGTCAAGAACAACCATTCGTTCTTAATGGCTCGGAGAAGTCGAAATCCTAGATTAACGAGCAGGTTGTTTTCTCCGCTTTAGATCTCGTATCGAATTTGTAAAGACTTTTCATTACGAGTTTCCTCTCGGAGTTCCCGGGAAAGGTGGCTACTTTTTAACGCGGACCTTCGCGTCTCTTCCTCTTTCGTTTTTCTCGTTCTTTCCTCCCTTCTGCGAAGTAAGGAAGGACATCGCGAATCGAGGGTAACGAGGGTAATTGAAGGGCCTCAAAGTTTACTGATAACCCGGGAGATTTTCCGGCTGTTGGCGTCCGATCGGGAAGTTTCGATGGCGAGGAACTTCCGGTCGCCGCTTATCGCCTCCTCTTTCCGCCCGAGTTCTCGAAAAAGCGCGAAAATGATTAATTCGACTGATAACTTTCCGTGACACTTTTCACGGTGATATGAAACCTTCTTCGGATCATTAGACTTGGATAAGACACCTTTTCTTTTTTTTTTTTTTTTCGTTAAGGGTATTCAATTAACGCTGACTGACGCTTTCAAAATTTGGATTTTCGCAAAAAGAAAAGAAGTGCTTGGCTTAGCCTAGACCATAATGAAAATGGCGATTCTCATATTTAGATCAATGCACAATTATTGAAAGCTTTAAGGTGTTTAAAAGAATCTTTCCTACCGACGTCGATTGAAATCCCCCCACGTGTTTCACTCCACCTTTGAATACGGAGCCATTTCGACATACGGGCGAAATTCCCCTGACCGTGCAGGCAATATTCGACCAAACGTCGGGCGCCTTTAGGCGCTCTTAGTAGCCGAAGGGCTAAGAGAGTAGAGATGGATTTAACGAAAGGGTACAGTGGGAGGAAAATGGAGAAAAGCTCAGGAAGCGGTTTTCGAGGTCGGTCGGGGTTCAATCGGGGAATTCGACAAGGAGAGCTTCCGGGTCTTTCGACCCCAGGAGGTGGCCCCCCTTTCGGCGACACTTGACCCCTTCTCCGCGCGGGCCCTCCTCGACTTCCGCTTTTTCCATCTCCATCTCCGCCTTCGCGGGGAAAATCCCGTCCCAGCCCTTCAGTTTTCCCAGTTTTCCAGTTTCCTGGATTTCCGGCTTCTGGTTTCCCCGAGCGAGCTTCCGCTCCGCTTTAATCTCGGTTCTCTTTTTTTTCCCTTTCTTTCCCCATTTTTTTTTTCCCCTCGCGCGAGTAGCGAGTCGCGAGCCCCGATGACACTCTGAAATATGCAAGCTCTATGCCCGAGCGGTTAGTTACCTTCGCGAGGGAAAGCTCGAGCTTTTCCTCCCTTGCCCTTTGGCTAGACTCCCCGTTTTCCGGTTCTTCCTGGATTAAGTTGCTCCGATGAAACGAATGATTTTTTTTTACGGAGGGTGGGAAGCTTTCCTGGATCCTTTCCTTCATTTTTTCTGACATATATCTACGTATACATATATTATATATTCGATGATATATCGAAGCTCCCAATTAACAATTAGCGCAAAACAAAAAAGGGGAGAAATAAAGTGCATATTTACGTATACATATATTATATATGATATATGTGCCCATAATTATGAAAGTGGTCTAAGTCAACATTAAAAAAAAAATGAGTTTATCAGTTATTTCACGCCATATTATTTCAAACGAAATTAATTCAATGTAATTTCGAAACAAAAAATATATGACTTAGACCACCTTCATAATTATGGGCACATATGATGTATGATGTAGAAAAAAATTCAGAGATTTCGAGATTTTTTTTCTTTTTTATTTATTTATTTATTTATTTTCGAGATGTAGGACCCTTCAGGATGTATTTAAATTCGGAAAGCCTATTCCCGAGGGATGAATACGGGCACCGGACAATCCGTCCCCTTCCGCGTCCAAATCGTTAATTTTAACGGCCGCTAAACGTCAAATTGAGAATTACGTCCGGTCGGTTTGGTGTTTATCGCTCGTTAAACTTAACGATATGGATGAGCAGGGGATGTACCTACAGGAGCAAGAACAGAGAATTCCCGATAAGGCCTCCCTTATCCTTGAAAATTAGTTTCCCTGAAATTTCGTGATATAACTCATCTATTACAATAAAAAAAATTATGCCCATTATTAACAAATATAATTACGTGAAAAATATTTCTTTGCAATCTTCGGTGAATATCTCAAGCGACAGATTTTTTAGGACGTCTCGTAGATGTCATACCCAAAATATCATTTAAAAATCTCAATGGCATATTTTCTAATTCATGAACATACGATGAAAATACCTATATACTTTGCGCTTGTCGTCGGACATTTGATTTGATAAATGAAAAAAATATTTTCGTTCCACTGTTTCATTGTGGAAGCTTTACACGATTTTAGTTTTAAATACTTTTTTTTTAAAACGTTGAAAAAAATTTTAATAAGGTAAATGTTTTGGAAATATTTCAAGTGCCCGGGGAATATTTAGAAAATGTAGGATATTCGTTAAATATATAGAGAGTGTGGGGGAAATAATTTAGGGCTTAGGCCCGAAATAAAACGTTATGTGCGCAAGGGGAGCAACCGCGGTTAGTGAATCTGTCCTGGGGATCCCCTAGGAAAATAATTCC